GACCAGCAGCACCTCCAGCACCAGCAGCACCTCTGGCTCCGGCAGCTCCAGTACCTCCAGTACGAGCACCTCCAAAAAGCATCTCCAGCTCCTCCAATAACTCCAACTCCAGTGTCTCCAGCCCCAGCGCCTCCAGCTCCAGCAGCGCCACTGTGAGAGTACGACGGCTTATGCTGGCTTTGCTAGCTTGCCTGGACTTTATTATGCATTATCTATTTTAGCATTATTTTGCTTTGCTTGCTTTTGCTAGATTTCCTAGGTTCGTTGCTTTTACTATAGTTATTATAGTTATAGGCACCGAACTAGGTTACGTACACCGAATTCTAGGCTTTTCGGTTGCCACCGAATTGCCTTCTACCGAATTCGGGAAGGGTCTGTTCGGGACGCTTCGCGACCCTCGGAACCTTCGCGTAACACCTGGTTACCTGCCTTGTGTCGAGCCTATATATAGCCTCGCCTTGTACTGAGGTGAATCATTCAATTCAAATCATCTTTTCTGAGCTCGATCCTAGATCCTCACAGCCACTCCGAAGACGACTACGCTGAGTATACCACTCGCATAGCTGTTGTGGTGAGAGAGCACATCCAGTACCTCCAGTACGAGCACCTCCAGGACTAGCAGTGCCAGCACCACCAGCACCACCAGTACCGGTAGCACCACCAGCTCCGGCAGCTCTAGTGCCCCAGTACGAGCACCTCAAGGACTAGCAGCTTCAGCTCCTCCGGTACCTTCAGCGCTAGCTTCTCCAGCTCCAGTGCCTCCAGCTCCAGGACCGGTAGCCCCAGCGCCTCCAGCTCTAGCGCCTCCAGCTCCAGCGTCTCCAGCTCCAGTGCCTCCAGCAGCTCCAGCGCCTCCATCGACCGGGCCTCCAGCTCCAGCAGCGCCACTCCGAAGGTGGGTGCACCAAGCGTACCACTCACGTAGCTGCTGTGGTGAGAGAGGCTCCCGCTGACTAGACCACTGTGGTGAGACACCAGTATAACCTCCATGACTAGTAGCTCCAACACCCCTAGTACCTCCAATACCAACAGTACCTCCAGCACCTCTAGGACTAGCAGCTCCAGGCCTCCAGCTCCACCAGCGCCACTTCGAAGGCGGGTGTGCTGAGTGTACCACTCGCGCAGCTGCTGTGGTGAGAGAGACTCACGTAGTGTAGAAGTTGTACCCCTAGGGTCAGTACCCCCAGACCCAGCACCTCCAGGCTCCGCACCCGCAAGCTCAGCACCCTCAGGCTCCGCACGCTCAGGCTCAGCACCCCCAGGCTCCGCACGCTCAGGCTCAGCACCCCCAGGCTCTGGACCCACAGGCTCAGCACCCCTAGGTAGATATGAGCATTGAACCGGACTTAAGTTCGGTTTGAGATGTTCGGTTCGAGATAGCTCGAAGCGAACCTTTTTTTTATTATTATTTTTTTTTTTTTGTGAAAATTGTTCGCGCAAACTTCTCTGAAGTTCGCGTGAACTGTTCATGCGAACTTTTTGGGTTCGAGATAAGAACCTCGAATCAAACAGGTTCGAGGTTTGAATCTTGTTATTTCGAACCAAGAGGGGTTCGAGATAACTGCCTCCCGCGCCACGGAAGCACTCGCGACTTTCCCGTCAAAATCGGGAAAGTCCTAGTGCTGGCTGCCATTTCACGGCAGCCAACCCTAGTCTCGCTAAGTTAGTGGGCCAGGGCTAGGGTGTTGAGGTTGTATGGGTTGATTTTTTTTTACCCTCTCATTTTTGTTTTGAACATGATGCTGTCCTTAAACCATTAGACATGCTTGTGTTGTAGAATAACATGTGCATCATTTTAATCCTCAAACCTGCTAAGGTTCGAGTTCGCTCAAACCTTAGAAGGTTTACCTTTAGGGTTCACCATTGTATTCTCAAACCTCAAACCTTAAACTTCTGAAAAAAGTTCGAGCAAACATGTTCGGTTCGGTTCGAGCAACATGCAAAGTTCGAAAAGGTTTGCACAAACATGTTTGAGTTCGGTTCGTGCTCATACCTACCCCCAAGCTCCGCACGCTCAGGCTCAGCACCCCCAGGCTCCGCACCCGCAGGCTCAGCACCCCCAGGCTCCGCATGCTCAGGCTCAGCACCCCCAGACGCAGCACCCTGAGCAGCACCAGAGTCACCAGTGACCTCGACAGGCTCAACCAAGGGGAGTGGGTCTACCTGATATACACCAAAAGGAGCAGGACCTTGAGGGGGGAGGGGGTCTACCGGAGGGGGACCTGGAGCAAGGAAGAGCGGCGAGGGGGGAGAGGGGCAGCGCGGTAGGGGAAGAGACGGTAAAAGCACACCGACTCGTCAAACATGACGTCATGAGAAAACAGGATACGTCGCGAGGTGGGGTGGCAAAACTACCATCCAGGCGCGTCAGGGGGGAAGCCAAGGAAGACACAGGGAATGGTGCGGGAGGAGAGCTTGTCCGCATGGTTGTCTCAGACAAAGGCACGAGCGCCCCAGGCCCGGAACACCGACGCATCGCCAACCTTCCCCGTCCAACGCAGTGTAGGCGAGGTCTCCGGCAAGGAGACACGGGGCCAGAGGTTGAGCTGATGCGCAAACGGCCACAAAAAATGGGGAGCGGCCTTATAGATCATGGAGGTACGAGCCACCTCCACAACTAGGCCAATGCGGCGCTCAGCAACCCCATTCTGCTGCGGGGAGGCTGTAAGCGTGAACGACTGGAGGATACCCTCCCCACAAAAAAAGTCCCGCAAGAGATCGGGGGATAACTCACCACCTCTGTCAGAGTGCAGACGCAGGACAGGAAGGTCCGTGTGGAATCTCTCGCGGAGCTGGAGATGGGTAGCGCGGATCCAAGGGATCAAGACATCAGGGACCTCCCCCTTGCTGCGCAAGGGGAAGACCGTGGTGTAACGCGTGTAGTCGTCAACAACCAGCAGAAAATACCGGGTCCAGTCCACGGACGCGGGCTGGACCCCACACGTCCATGTGGAGAGTCTGCAGGGGAGCCTCTGTCGGGGGAAACGAGGAGGAGTGAGGAGCGGTGCGCTGCCGCCCCTCGACGCAAGGAAGGCAGGGCGGGGCAGGCGAGCGTGGGAGAGGGGGTAGAGACCTGGGAAGACCAGAGACCAGAAGGCGAGAGTGCATGCCACGGAGGCGTGGCAGGGAGGGGTGACCAAGGCGGTGGTGCCAGAGGAGAGTCTGGTGCGAGAGGTGGCGACACGAACAGGGGGCTGCTACCTGACCTGACGCGGACACCTGACCAGACGCAGCTACCTGGGGAGGCTCAGTAGTCAGTGTGTACAGGCTCGACCCAGGCCGACGGGTGAACATGGCTAGGTGGCGGCCCGTCCGTGTACACGTGCAGATCGCCACACGCTGACCCCCAGTAGTGGTGGTAGTGACCATCGCATCCTGGAGGGCAGCGGTACTCACCAAGTTTGTAGAGAACGAGGGGAGGTGAAGACCTGACAGTGAGCCAGACGGAACCGCCAGACACTGGAGAACAGCGGCGGAATGTACAAGAACTGGGCCTTGAGGGGTCAGCCAGTTTGACTGCAACCGGTGCAGGGAGTGGTGTGAGTGTGGTACTGTCGCGAAAGAAACAGCGGGAAGCACCTGAGTCAAGCGTGAAGGTGTGCAAGGCCTCAGCAGGCGTAGTACCAGAGAGAGCAAACTCACTAGCACCTAGAGCAGCAACCTCTATACCTGGGTCGGGCGGCACACACAGGTAACAGTCACCCTCAGTACCAGTAGTCGAAGCATACATGGCAGTAAGGATAGCGTCATAGTCTAGAGCAAATATATTCACCTTGCTCCGAAGCAGCTCTAGCCAGCGGGGGAGCTCAGCCTCGTCGCCAAACTCTGCGCGCCAAGCGTCGCTCAGACAGGCGAAGCAGCGGGGGTGTGTGTGACCAACTGTCCCGCAAGTCTGACCAGCCCGATCACCTGTGCGAATGACGTACGGGCAGCGGGCAGTACTTCAAGACCTCCCACTCTGAGCCTACCACTCACGAAGCTGCTGGGGCGTAAGGGTCTCGCGCGGACGCCGCTGCAGCTGCATCTGGCCACCGCCAGAAACTCCGCACTGAACAGCTCCACCGCGACTGCCACTACGGCCGCCGCCACCACACCTACTGGCATACCGCTCACGGAGCTGCTGGAGAGTAAGGGTCTCGCGCGGACGCCACTGCAGCTGCATCTGGCCACCGCCAGAAACTCCTCAGTGAACAGCGCCACTACGGCCGCCGCCAGCACTCCCACTGCTGCCACCACCGCCGTCACCACTCCCACCGCTACCGCGAAGAGAAGTCATAGCGGGCAACGCAAGGAGGTGTGGGACCAGCAGGGCAGCACTTAGTGAAGACAGCGCGGCGAGGAGGCACTAGGGTAGCGAGTAGGGTAGGGTGGGGCGGCGCACGGTCAGGGAAGGGCGGCGCACGGCCAGAGTAGGGCAGCGCGCTGCAAGTAGGGGCGGCGCGCGGGCAGTAAGGGGCGGCGCGCAGGCAGGCAGGGGCGGAGCGCGGCCAGCAGGGCGGTGCGCGGGCTGCAAAGGGTAGCGCGCGGGCAGGCAGGGGTGGCGCGCGGGCAGGCAGGGGCGGCGCGCGGGCCCTAGGGCGACGCGACGGGCAGGGCAGGGCGTGCGCGGTCAGCGCAACGCAGGGCAGGGCGCGCGCGGGGCAGCGCGAAGCGGGAAGGGCAGGGCGTGCGCGGGGCGGCATGGCGCAGTGCAGGGCGTGCGCGGGCAGGGCAGAGCATGCGCTGGCAGCGCGACGCAGTGCAGGGCATAGGGTAGCGCGGTAACCGCAATCGGTCACTAGCTAATGGTGAGCCGGAGAAAAAAAGGTCCTACGGACACACTGCTCTGATACCATGTCAAAATAGTGAGCAGAGAATGATGCATTGAACATGAATGTTGGTACAAGTGCTAACCCTAATTTGGGTTGTACCCCACTACAGCCTACACAGCACAAGCATCATTATAGTTTGACAATTCTTACATCGGACAACACATTGTAGGAAGCGCCTCGAAGTGGGACTCAAGCATCAAAGCACGAGATCGAGCGGACTTGTGGGGGGATGAGGAACCTGGTTGATGATGGACATACGGTACACCAGAGGAAACATGCAATGAGAGGGATGGATTGTATGGTATAGTGGTGCACCACTGACATGGTGCAGTGAAGCGGAAAATGGAAGTGATCTATTTATGATAACATGCAAACTGTGAATGATTTGTGATTGGCAAACTTACCCAAATGCCCACACACTTGGACTAGGCAGCTGAAGCTGTGGGCCCAACTTCGAGCTGCAGTTATCGTCAGGAAAAATTCTGACGCGGAAACAACCGGCCGCACCACCGACGCCCACCACCAAGTTTGCGGTTTTGATGACCCCAACCACCTCATTCGGAACTTGAGTGCAGCCATTTTTCAAGCGGGCAGTATAAGGCTTGCTTCTATCCATGAAGAGTGTCACGCTGGTGGCACCTGCATTATCAGGTGAGCCTGAGGATGGATGGCACACACAACAGGGTAAATGTAGCGCAAGGGTCATGATGCGATGCGAGAACAAAGTAAAGGAGGGTGAAGGCAAAAGGCAGACATGCGTCCAAGTTTAACTGATGCGAGTTCAAGCTGCTGTTACACTCCAAGTTGTTTGAAAAAAAAAAAAAAAACGTCACAGCACGAGACCACCTCGCCAGCCCTCATACAACGCTGAGCAAAGGGAATGTAGCATGAGGAAGCAGATGGGGCGCTGTTGAGCCTTACCCTCCTTGCATTCTGTTGGGGTCATCCCAAAGCCCGTGGGGCACTCGCAGTACAGAACCTCCGCCTGCTTGGGACTGTCATCACTAGTGTGGACTGTCTTACAGGCAGCTCCAGAGGGACACGTGCCACAGGGTGAGTCTGAGCAACAGAACAAGCAGGGGAAACACAGGGTACGGCAGAGAGATTACGAAATGAGCACAGCGAATGGGGCAGCTGCAGACTTTTGAGGAGCCGCAAGAATCAGAATTTAGGACTTCAAAAATATAAATGAGCGCAGCGCAGTTTATGGGCCAGCTACAGACGAATGTTGAATAGAGGAATTGACAAATGGGTCAGCTATTCCAAAGGATACAGCTAGAAGAATGTGGATGGGTTGGGTTAGGGGTACAAAAGGTTGGAAGCCATGCTTACTCCATTCGCAAGAACAAACTAACTCCATCAATGCTTCCCACACAACCATCTGGTTTGTGGATATATACAGTGACTTCCCACCCTCGAGGCAAGACCTACAGTGCAACCTACCAACGGAAAACAGCTCCCCCAAAGGCACCTAGAGGTAGAATATGTAGCGCCTGGAATTTTGAGACCATTGAGTCGACTCATAATCAAATTTTGATGCGCTTAAGACATACAGATCATTGTAGAAACTCACCACACCGTAGTTCGTTTGGAGGCATCTCAAAGCCCGGGTCGCACGCGCAGGTGGGATCCCCGTTCTCCTTCCTCACGCACTTGCCATTAGGCCCGCAATTCACAGCATCACAATTGTCTACAGAAAACAAAATAAAGAAAAGTGAACACATGGAGAAGTGAACTCAAAGTCAATGAGCATTTGCCATAAAACCCGCAATTCGCCGCAACACAGGTGTCTGCGGAAAGAGAGTGAACATAGTCAAGGGCGCTTGAGTCAGATTTGCACACAATCCGTTTACTTTTGCGAGAAATTTGAGTCGCGGAGAGCCCACTTTTCAAGGACCGGATTTTCAAATGCAAGGCATACCCTCTGTGTTACCAATGCAAGAGATAATGGTTGTGTGCAGGAAACCCAGACGCGTGAAACGAAATTACCATATCAGGAAATGCAAGTAAGGCACTCACTCTCTATTGCACTCCTCCCACTTACCAATGCAAGAGAGCTCGTCAGAAGACGGCTTAAAGCCATCCTGCAACTACAGGATGGCTTCCCATTCACATCCTTCGTGCAATTGCCGCCAGGGCCGCATTTCACCGCGTCACACAAGTCTGCAAGGAAAGGGATACCCCAGGCAAGTGGAAGGACGTAAAACATTGGGATTTTGGCACTCAAGGGTCACGGAGTTGAATATGCAAGCAATGCAATAATTCGTGCAAGAAAGTTGACGTGGGGCCAAAATTCAAGGCATGCACTTTGTGTTGCACTCTTCTCACTCACCAATGCAAGAGAGTGTGTCATCTGAAGACTTAAAGCCCGTGTTGCAACTACAAAATGCCTTTCCACTCGCATCTTTCTTGCAATTGCCGCCAGGCCCACAATTCACCGCATCACACAAGTCTGCAAGGAAACAGAACCTCGGCAAATGGAAGGATGTTAACAATGAGATCTTAACCCTCGAGGGTCAATGAGATTTGAATACGCACGAAATCAGAAACATGTGCAAGAGAACTGAAGGGAGGGCAAGTTTCAAGGACTGGTTTTGAAACTCAAGGCATGCACTCTGTGTTGCACTCTTCCCGCTCACCAATGCAAAAGAGCTCGTCAGAAGATTGCTTAAAGCCCATGCTGCAACTACAGGATGGCTTTCCGTTCGCATCCTTCGTGCAATTGCCACCAGGGCCGCATTTCACCGCATCACACAAGTCTGCAAGGAAAGGGATACCCAGGCAACTGGAAGGGTGTAAAACATTGAGATTTTAATATGCACACAATGCAATCATTCGTGCAAGAAAGTTGATGTGGGGCCAAGTTTCAAGGACTGGGATTGGAATTCAAAGCATGCCATCTGTGTTGCACTCCTCCCACTCACCAATGCAAGAGAGCATGTCGTTTGAAGCCTTAAAGCCCGTACTGCAACTACAAAATGGCTTTCCATTTGCATCCTTCATGCAATTGCCGCCAGGCCCACAATTCATCGCATCACACAAGTTTGCAAGGAAAGGGATACCCAGGCAAGTGGAAGGACGTTACACATTGAGATCTTGGCACTTAAGGATCACTGAGTTGAATATGCATACAATGCAATCATTCGTGCAAGAAAGTTGATGTGGGGCCAAGTTTCAAGGACTGGGATTGGAATTCAAAGCATGCCATCTGTGTTGCACTCCTCCCACTCACCAATGCAAGAGAGCATGTCGTTTGAAGCCTTAAAGCCCGTACTGCAACTACAAAATGGCTTTCCATTTGCATCCTTCATGCAATTGCCGCCAGGCCCACAATTCACCGCATCACACAAGTCTGCAAGGAAAAGGTTATGGAGAGAGAGTGATGATGAGGTTCGACGACCAAAGGGTCTATTACCAATGGATCAAGTGTAGCTGCAAAAGAAGATCATGGGTATACAGAAAACATGTGATGTGTGTACAAGAGACTTGTGCGGTGAATAGTGCGGCTCTCACTTCCCTGTAACAACATAGGTGTTGCCCTCGAGGTTTTCTCCGACCAATACCCAGATGACCACAATGTCACTGTATAGAAGCGAACCTAGGCAAGTGCATTGATGGCAGCAAAGCCATGGTTGCATTTACAGTTGAGCGGAGAGAGTAGGAAGTACAAGAAGGGATCACTAGCAGCGTACCTAGGCAAGTGCCATTGACAACAGCAAAGCCGTGGTTGCACGGGCACGTGACACCCTTGCCGTCAGTCGTTGGCATGCACGTGGAGTTGGTGGGACAGGTGGCATGCTGACAGGTGATGTCTGGCAGCATGGGGTAAGAGAGACACGTGGGTAGCACAGAGACACGTGGGTAGCACAGAGACACGTGGGTAGCACAGAGACACGTGGGTAGCACAGAGACACGTGGGTAGCACAGAGACACGTGGGTAGCACAGAGACACGTGGGTAGCACAGAGACACGTGGGTAGCACAGAGACACGTGGGTAGCACAGAGACACGTGGGTAGCACAGAGACACGTGGGTAGCACAGAGACATGGGAGTACGACCAACATGGGGTTAAGACATAATGCGGCAAGGAGAATCAAGCAATGCGTGCTAGGCACATGGGGCAGGGATGCGTGGCATCATGGGGTGGAGCACTGAGATTCAAGCAAGGCGTGCTGGCAGGTGATGTGCTCAGCATGCGGGAGCACACAGAGAGATGCAGCGTGGCTGGTGAAACCACCACCCAGAGAAGCTCTCTCACATGGATGAAATGAGATGTGTGTGGCACCGAGGCAAGGAGGCAAGGAGGGAAGGAGGGAAGGAGGCAAGGAAGGAGGGAAGGCACGCACCAGCTTTGCAGGAAACGGAAGTCCATTGAGGGATCTTCTTTGAGCTGCACGCAAGGACGTCACAAACACATTCACACGAGATGTTACGTTTGGGCGGCACAACCCGAGGCACAACAGTGGCTCACAACCCAAGGCACACAGTGGCTCACAACCCGAGGCACACAGTGGCTCACGACTGTGGCTCACGACTGTGCCTCACGACTGTGGCTCACGACTGTGGCTCACGACTGTGGCATTGGTAGAGGCAACTCACTCCCCCAGACCCATCACCCCTGCCCTGCACCCATCACCCACCTGTCACTACTACTGGTCATCACCCGTCACATACTAGAGCACTCTGGCGCTCTGCGAACCGACTCAAAGAATCGTCTCATCACCTGCCCTGCTCCCACCTAAGGCCCACCTGGGAACGTGGAAGAATCGGCGCAGGTTGGCATACGGCGGCTGCAGCACCTCCTGCAGCGCCTTGCCCTTGCACGCCGGGCTGGCAAAGAACTGCACCTGCTTGCACGCCGCACCCGCCCGGTCCTTCCCGCGTGAACCGCCGCCGCCCGTGCTGCCGCCCGTGCTGCCGCCTGTGAGCCCGTGCCACCACACCTGCACGTCATTCTCCCCCTTGCGCACCGCCCGGGGAAGGCTGAAGCAGCGGAGGGCGTTGAAGCTGACGGGGAGGCTCACTCCCAGCACCATGATCTGCGTTGCCACCTGCACCCTCGCCTCCACCGCCCCACCCCCACCCCCAACCCCCACCCCTATCCCTACCCCCACGCGCATGCTCTCGTTCCCGCTTGTCGCAGTGGTGTCGCTTTTGAGGCTTCTGGCAGTCACAGCGTCGCTTGCACTGCGCTCTTGAATGCCCGCGTTCTGGGGATCCCCACGCTCCCCTGCTGGCATGTGAGCTGTGGCGACCGCTGCAGGGAGAGGGAGGAGAGAGAGAGAGAGGGGGGAGAGGGGTGAGAGGGGTGAGAGGGAGGAGAGGGGTGAGAGGGAGGAGTGGGTGAGAGGGAGCAGAGGGGTAAGAGGGAGGAGAGGAGTGAGAGAGAGAGGAGAGGTGAGAGGGAGCAGAGGCGAGAGAGGAAGGAAGGAGAGAGGTAAGAGGGAGCAGAGGAATTAGAGGGAGGAGAGCGGCGAGAGGGAGAAGAGGGGTGAGAGGGAACAGAGGGCTCAGAGGAAGAGTACGGAGTGTGCATGCTTCTCAGGGGTAGTAACGAGATGAGTTTGACTCTTGAGTCGACTCAAACTTGTGCGTGCCTCTCAGAGGTGGTTACGCCTGCGGGCTTACACGAAGGATCGAATGGCATCTGCTGCGCCACAAACCCGCTTGGTATCAGGGGTGTAGCGGGTGGTATATCGGAACTTGGGTTTACATCTAAACGTGCGAAACACGCACGGAACGAAGAACCCCTTGGGAATGGGAAGGAGAGAGAAACGACTCACCGCAGATGATGGCAAGGGCGAGGAGCGGAAGCAGCACGGCAGGAGAAGCGGCCATGGCGGTCAAGCTGCCACGTCAGATGACTCCCGTCCGTCAGGTGAACCGTCCGACAGGTGACTCCCGTCCGTCAGATGACTCCCGTCCGTCAGGTGAACCGTCCGATACGTGACTCCCGTATGTCGGGTGGACGATTTATTGTGCAGTACGCTGCTGCCACGTCAGGTAATTCACGCGCAATGAGTGGCGCAATGAATGGCGCAATGAATAACGCAATGTTAGGGAAGATGGCTCTGAATTAGTCACAATCGACGGTCGCAGACGTTGCAATGGCACAGCGCGATGCTACTGGTACAGCTGATTACGGTGCTATAGCTTTATAGCAGGCCGTCTAGTAGCGGTGTAGCTGCTGGCGTTGCTATCATGATACTGCACGAGCATATGGCACACAACCGTTGGGGGAAGTGCTTCCATGGCTGCCGCTCTGGTTGGTTTATGGGGAAAGCCAGGACGCTCCCCCACCGCCCGAGGCTGATAGTCCATACGAGGCGCTAGGAACGCGGGTGGCGTCGATTCAGAGCTATTGGGGGTTCGCATTACGAGGCAGAAACAGGGCGACCGACTCAACAATCGCCTGTAGTGACGCTGTGGCTAGTGAACGACGGTGGGAGCATGAGCGAAGCAACAGGATTGGAGCGCACGAGAGAAACGGTATTATTGATAGGTAAGGGAAGGGAAGGATATGTAGGGTCTGCGATCTTGCCGTATACCCAGGGAAAGGGGGAGCATGGAGCGCGTCGCACGCAAGTGAATTATTAGTGTGATCGCCTATGCTCATGCCCTCCCGCGGAACGTGAATTATTGGGATCAAGACGCAGGCGAAGGGGATGCGCAGACGCGGTTTACGACGAATAACAGAGTGTCGCAACGGTCGTTGTTTCCATCAGTTCCATCGGCCATCGAGGAGCCATCGTCGCGAGGCGATTTTTGAGTTACCCTACGCGTTTGCGGGAAATCAACGTTCGAAAACTGCTAACTTGAAGGTTGGAATGTAAGCCGTCAATCGGCCAAGGGTTCCATCTTGTAACGATTCTAGTGAGTCTCCACGAGTCACCAAGCCCCGTACAATCTTAGTAATTTGTGACCAGTTCTTAGCCTGCTCTCACGGATTCTTCTAGCGCGTACATTCGGAGTTTGATCTTCGTCGCTCTCACCAGCGTTGGAAGGGCCGTAGGGATCTCGCTTTTCGTTGGATAGTCCGACCACCTCCATCTGTCACTCGCGTCGCGCCAGTCTCCCCCAGCCCACACGACTCAAGCAGCCGAGCCGCGCGGGCATGCGCCTCGCCAGAATATCGACTTGCGTCGACGCGAGCCACGTGAATGCGATGGCATTTCATCGGCGAATAGTGGTCTCTGCCTCCTACTACGAGAGATCTAATTCAATATTCGTGCTCGGCGTCTCTCGTCCCAACCATGACCCTTATCTTCACCCTACCTTTCCCTTCCGGGATCTTATCCTTTGCGAACCGCACCTTCTATCCCGAGCGTTCCCAGCGCACTGAGGGCTTTTTGCCGCCTCGCGGATTCTATCCGGCAGTCGTTTTTTCCGCGAATCGCGGGATTCGCTGCACGTCAGCGCCGGCCCCTTTTAAGGGAACTCGGCCTCTTCATCTTCCTCGCCGCGCTTCACGGAGAGCTCTGGGCGGCGGCGGCGGCGGCTGCGCGATGCATATTGCGAACGCCGCAATGCGGCGCGAGCCCGGAGGGGCTGACGATAACCGCACCGAGTATAACCGCACCGAGTATAACCGCACGTTAAACGTTAGGACCGGAGGGCGAGTGCTGACCCCCGAGGAGCACTGGCAGCGCTACCGGCCGCAGCTGGCGACGCGCTACGGGCACTGGCGATTCTGGTTACCAGCGCAGGGGCGAGAGGCAAAGCTGTCGCTGGAGCTGCTGCGCGAAATCACCCCCGTGGAGGTGGAGAGCGGTGCAGAGGAGTACGTGCTGCGGGTAAGATGCCCCTGCCCTATCCCGAGCCATGCTCCTCTCCTTGCTCCTGCGCTCGCCCTTCTTCTTGGCGTTGCCCGTGCTCCTGTCCTGTCGTTACTGTTGTCCCTGCCCCTGCCCCTGCCCCTGCCCCTGCCCCTGCCCCTGCCCCTGCCCCTGCCCCTGCCCCTGCCCCTGCCCCTGCCCCTGCCCCTGCCCCTGCCCCTGCCCCTGCCCCTGCCCCTGCCCCTGCCCCTGCCCCTGCCCCTGCTGCCCCTCCTCCTGCCCCTGCCTCTCCCCCTGTCGTTGCCATTGCCCGTGCCCTTCCCGTGCCTGCACGTCGACTGCGAAAGCAGGGGTGGGAGCGACGCTACGAGTGAAGCCTGATCAGGCCGAACTAGAAGCCCTCGTTTGGCCCCTTCCCTTACGCCTCTCTCCCTCTGCCCTTCACCACTACTCTCCTCACCTTTCCACGCTTCCTCTCGCCTCTCCCTTCCTTCCCCCCGTCTCTTCCCTTCACTCCCCTTCTCTTGCTCTCCTCCTCTCTTTCCCCCCCCTCCATCCTTTGTCCATCTCCCTGCTCTCCTCCCTTGACCCGTTCGCACAGCAAATACACCTTGTCCGTTGCCCAACCTCCAGCCCACCCACTCTCCACCGCTCTTCATCCACTCTCCACCGCTCTCTACACTCCCACGACAGCAGAAACTCTGCAGAATGGAGCAAACGTGCATGCCAACAGCAGCAGCTGTCTCTCTGTCGAGGCCACAGAGGGAGCGTGGCCCTTCTCCTGTGGATCCCACGCTTGCTGTCCTCAACCTCACCTCCCAAACCAACCCTGCTTCTCTCCAACCCTCCTTCCCCGCCCACCAAGTGTCAGTGGCAGGGGTGACAACCCAGCCAAGGTGCCGGAGGGAGCGTGGCCCTTCTCCTGTGGGCCCCGCCCACGCTTGCTTTCCAACCCCTACCCTGTGAAGCACCCCCGCTAATCCCCCTTGCTCTTTACCCCTTGCGCCTCCCCCCCTCCTCACACCCGTCCCTCTCCACCGCTCCGTCTCTCTGCACAGCAGGAGCAGGTCAACAGGTGAGTTGACTTCCCAGCCAAGGTGGCTGCGGGCGCGTGGCTTCTCAGCCACGCGCTGAGGAACAAAAGGGCATATCATCCCTCCCTAGGGTCCTGTTCATGTAGTGCGGAGGGACCTCCCAGCCAAGGTGGCTGCGGGCACGTGGCTTCTCCTGTGAAGCAGCTGGCCAACCCCTGTTGCTCTTCAGCCCTTCTGCTCCACCTCACTCTCTCCTCTCTTTTATTGCGCCTCATCCTCCCATACAGCACGAGCAGTTCAACTGGCGGAACGATTTCCCAGCCAAGGTGGCAGAGGGCGCGTGGCCCTTCTCCTGTGAAGCAGCGGGTTACTTCCCTTGCTCTCCACCCATCTCTTCCCCCCATCCCCTCTCTCTCTCCACTCCTCCCTCCCGCACAGCACGAGCAGTTCAACCGACAAGGTGATTTCCCAGCCAAGGTGGCGGAGGGCGCGTGGCCCTTCTCCTGTGAAGCATCTGGGCGACTTACCTTGTTCTCACCCATCTCTCTCCTCCCCTTCGTCCCCACACCTCCCCTCCGTCCCCACACAGCACGAGCAGTTCAACCGGTGGGGTGATTTCCCAGCCAAGGTGGCGGAGGGCGCGTGGCCCTTCTCCTGTGCGCGCGCCAGCCACACCAACGGCATCTCACTGCCCTACGGCATCTACAGCCATGGCGCACGCGTGCTCTGCGCTGGTGGGGACGAGGAGGGGGAAGGAGGGGAGGCGGGGGATGGGGACGAGTGGAATGGGGGCGGGGCTGTGGTGATGGCGCAACTGCAGGTGGGGGGAGACAGGCCGGAGGGCAGGGGGGAGGGCAAGGGGGAGGGCAGGGGAGAGGGTGTAGGGGAGGGGAAGGGGGAGGGCGAGGAGGGAGAGCGTGACAAGGGGCGTGGGAAGGGCAGCACAGGAGCGGAGTCAGTGCGGCGTGCAGTGCTGCTGACAGCCAACGTGTGCTTCATGGACGGTGCGCACGGTGGTGCTGTTTGTTGAGATTTTTGAGTAGGCTCAAAACACACGTGGGCAGGGCAGCATGGGAGGGGGATCGAGTGTTGCTGACAGCGAACGGGTGCTTCGTGGATGGTACGCATGGGTGCTGCTGTTTTGGGAGTGTGACGGACCCACGGCGAGTGTGATTCTGTAATGTTGCCACTGTGCGCACGGTGCTCCACAGTAAGCCATAGATGTGCATGCAAGCAGCTATTAGTGTCCACCAAATGCTCCAATCATCGCCACAGCCTCTCACCGATCTCCTCTCCTCTGCCTCCACCGCCTCTGCCTCACAGGCCCCGGCGCACAACTCAACGTGGCCTTCTCGGAATCTTCCTTGTCTCTGAGGCAAGACGACACTGTCCTACCAACGGGCAGGCGCAACAAGTCCCACACTACTGGCAGTGCCGCCAGCTATCAATATACTGACGGAACCACAAGCCCTTCCAGCCAATCCCTGCATGACACGTGGGCCAGCCCTCACTGGAAGACCCCTCTGCCGACACACCTGCCGGCCTCCCTCCCCCCACTCCCATCCAAGCCCCTCTATGGAGTTCCCCACTACATCTATGCTGACCTCTATGCTACACCTCTCTCTGAGCAACCCAGTAAGAGGCTGGAAACCCAGAACAAGGAGGTGTTTTCAGGGTACTTGGCAGGGGTACCCGAGGCCCAGCAGAGCAGGTATGGTGTATGGGCACTGCCTAGGGGGGTTGTGGTGGCTATGCCGTCTCCCTTAGAGCCAATGCTCAGCCGCGAGGGGGGAGGAGAGGGGAAGCAGTTTTGGCTGGTGGTGACTTATGTGAGAGGGGGACGGCAAGGGGTGCAGGGTGGTAGTGATGGGATTTGTGAGGAGCGCAGAGGGGTGGTTGTGGGTGGGGGGGGAGGAGAGGAGGAGCAGGATGATGGGATTGAAGATACAGGGTACATGGCGGAAGGAGAGTGGAAGGTGCAGCAGGTGGTGATAGCGTATGATGCACAGGGGCGGTTTGCATATGTGAAGCACACCAGGTTTATGTGACTTGGAGCAACATGTCCGAATGGTTGTTCGTTCATCTTGACACTAGAGTTGTAAAACATGTTAGGTTTCTTTGTGAGACTTTTCCCCACTTGTCCTGACGTGTCACAACTGTGTGTGTCCTTCCAGCATTCACCTAAACACTCCTGTTGCACCCGTTACGATTGCTTGAACTTACATTTGACGCAGGCCATGCAATCTCAGCATATACCGTACAAGACATGTTCCTCCTCTCATGCCAATGGTGTGCCGGAAATCTTGCTCACTTGCTCGCTTGCTCTCAAACATACTACTGATTTATTCTCTCTTGCTCGCTTTGAAGAAGTGACAGTACATACGGTATAATCTAAGTTACTTGCTAGCGCGCTGCCCACGTTGCAGAAGAATGTACACTAGTGGGCCACCGTGTGAGAGAGGGACTTTGAAGTAGGTAAACGGCGGAGATTATTGCAGTTTATCGTCGCAAATCGCGAGTGCGGCACAGCGAGAGCCACCTCAGCTCGTTTCCGCCTTGGGACTCGGAGGCGCGGCTGCTTCACTCGCTCTTCTCTTAGCGAGTTGTTTCTGCAGGAAGATAGAACACGTGCAGGGAAGAACTCGACGTGGTTCATTAGGATACGTTTGAGTTCGGCGAATCAAAACCAAGAAGAAACATTGAAGACTTAATGAACGATGTGCAATACGTAGCATTAATCCGCGGACTGTCCAGTCAAGAAATTGACACATCGTCGAAAATGGCAGAAATCGGGATTTCGTTTGAGCTCACCGCCTGCACGATTCTGGTGTGCGCCATGTAACTCCCGCCGAACACGACCGTGGAGACTCCACCGAGAATGCCGACGGTGGCGGTGGCAAGGCTCCAGGCGTATGCGATCATCGTGCCTCGAATTAGTAGCAAAGCAGCCGAAGCTCGATGAGAAGGTAAAAGATGCAGGTTCTTGGGTCGAAGATCTAAGGCGGCTCAGAAGAGTTTGTATAGCCGCTACCGAACTAGTAGACCGATCTAGTAGTAAGCTCTGATGAGACTGCGAAATATATCTTGGTGTGTGACTTTCTGATGTCGAGTTCCCTCAAATACCCATTTCGCGAACCAACCTCTACAATGCGCGATTTCACTTGGATACGGGAGGGAGGGGGATCGCTGCGGGTTGTGCGCGGAAAACCCAACCAATCAAACATGGCATTGCTGCGACTGCCACGAAATCGCGGCGCAACGGGAGCCAACAAAAAAGGCCCGTGGAGTTGTGGTGCGAAATCAGTGGCAGCGGGTGTTGTTCATGGGGAACGCGGGGGCTGGGGGAAGGGAATGTGGTTATGCTTCCGCCACCCGCTGCCAGGCAGGGAATGTGTTGGAACGAAGCGCGCAGGCAGCGCGACACGGAATGCGAATGGTGGGGGACCACATTGCACCGGAATGTGCGCTGGAAGCAGCACACCCCCGATCGCAAATGGCATGCCAGCTCGTTGCCTCACTGTGCGGGCGTGGCAGCAAATTTTCTGGTCCGTGCTGGATGCCTGCTTGGCCCTGCTGCACCCATTGCCCACAAGCTTTTGATGCTCTCGCAGCGGGGTACGTTCGGATGACGTGGCCAGGCGAACACTGTGTCATTTGTGGAGATTGGAGTTTCAGTACGTCAGACGTGGCTCCCCTGTGGACGAGATTAGCCCTCCCCTACACAAGGGTGTTCAAGTCCGACGTGGAATTTCAACCACTGACCTTCAACTCGTGAGCTTTGCACGTGGCACCATCATTTTGAAATTGCTGACCCGCAAGTACAAGTGAAGCTGCCTCGCTGTGAGGTGGTATTCCACACGAGGGAAGTTACTGACTAGGAAAAAATCGGAATATGGAGTTGGGTCCACAGAATGTTGAAGGTGCATACATTCTTACATGGAACAACTTATGAAACGGTTGTTTTCCATGATATGGAATAAAGTCAATAGCCATCAGGTTTTGAACATTATCCCCATCTTGGGCATTGAAACAAAGCTTTTGAAATGATCACTGGCCACATTCCAATGTCCCCGTTTGTTCCTACCTCCTCCTGAGTAATCTTCGTACTTACACTAACTACATGCTTTGAAAGCAAATTGTAAACGAGGACAGGAAACCTATATATTAGGCCACATCACAAGCAACTGTGTCTATCTACAGTGCTTTTGCCACGTGACCAAGCAGCTATCAAGTGATGGGCAATGGCGTATGGCCCTGGCACGTAAGCATGGCTGTTTGGCTTGTGCTCTGGGGGCAGTGAGTCCTCGTGTGCTTGTGGAACTAGTTTGAGATACACTTTGTGCCGTGCTGCAGTGCATTCAGTCTCGTATCTCTCAGTTGAGAGTGCAGCTGCAACTTGCTGACGTGTGAACCAGTTAGCATCTGCAGCAGGTGGCAGGTTGGATTGGATTGGATGCACTATGTACGATAAAGAATTCAGATAAATGGATGTCATTGGAAGCTGAAGTCAGCTTTAAACAGAGCATATTCATCCATCCATTGTGCCACGCCATGACCTTACCATGCATCCAAGCAGCACCCGGCCACATGCACACACAGCACCACCCACACACACGCACCTTGCACCTCGTGGGTGTTAAGGGCGACAGTGGTGGTGCCGTGCCGTCCACAAGTGCTGTCACCCACCCACCCACCAACACCTGGCAGCTCGTGACCAGTGCACTCAGTGTATCCAGTACCCACCAACACACCCACCAACACACCCACCAACACACCCACCACTTGCATGAGAGAGCACACGCACCTTGCAGCTCGTGTGTGTTGAGGGCGACAGCAGTGTCGTCCACGAATGCAAAGAAGCCCACCATCAGCTGACACTGCATGCTGCCAAACCCCACTGGTGGTGGTGAGGAGATGAACGGGATGTGGGACAGGAGAGGAGAAAGAGGAGAGGAGAGGAAAGGAGGGAAAAGGTGAGGAAAGGAGCAGCAAGACGAGGAGAATTGAGATGGTCCCTGTGTGATTTACTGCACGCTGTGAGCTCATGGTTTTACCATGAGCAACATGCAAATGTCAGCTTTGAGCTCATAGTTTAACCTATCAGCTGACATTTGTACGTTGCCCGAACCCCACTAGTGAGGCACGCACATGAGCGTGATGTAGCGGCAGTGCTCAAGGCAGCGCACGCCCTCTCGCCTGGCAGCACACGCCCTCTCGCCTGGCAGCACACGCCCTCTCGCCTGGCAGCACACGCCCTCTCGCCTGGCAGCACACGCCCTCTCGCCTGGCAGCACACGCCCTCTCGCCTGGCAGCACACGCCCTCTCGCCTGGTTTAAGCCGGCTTGAGCCCACCTGGCTAAAGGCTTGAGTCGACTGTCAAACATCATGGCACCAGTGTCATGCTCACCTGGGCATGGCTGCCACACGAGTAGTAGCAGGAGTGATGTTTGAGGACGTGCAGAGAGAAAGAGTTGTTTACTATGTGGTTTGGAGCTGCATGCTCCGAGGTCATGCTGCGACCCACCATCAGCTGACAGTGACAGTGCACCCATGCGGGACGGCGTGTGCCTGCTGTGCTGTGCATGCGCATGCACATGCTGATGTGTGGGAGAAGGAGTGAGACTGTGCGGTGCTGTCCGGTGCTGTGCTGTTCTGTGCCGTGCCGTGCCGTGGTGTGCTGTGCCGTGCCGTGCTGTGCGGTTCATGGCATGCACATGCTCATGTGTGCGACCGTGTAGGAGAGCGCGGCTGTGCTGTGCTGGTGCTGTGCTGCGCTGCGCTGTGCTGTGCTGCGCTGCGCTGTGCTGTGCTGTGCTGTGCTGTGCTGTGCTGTGCTGTGCTGTGCTGTGCTGTGCTGTGCTGTGCTGTGCTGTGCTGTGCGGTGCTGTGCTGTGCTGTGTATGCCTCCTCTCACCAGGCCATGGCTGTGACGAGTGGTAGAGCGTGTGAGTGATGCACAGCCCCACCTCCTCCCTCACCTCCCTCGCCACTGCCTCCTCTAGACTCTCCCCGGGCTGATGGGAATGAAGGGAAGGGAAGGCACACAGGGGGACGATGAGACGAGGGTTTTTGAAGTGCCTCAGAACCCATTCCTCTGTCTGTTGCCCTTCCCCCTCTTCCTCCTTTCTCACCTCCCTCGCCATTGACTCCTCTAGACTCTCCCTGGGCTGATGGAACGAGAAGGCACAAAGCCCGCAGCATGCAGCACACAGCATGCAGCACACAGCATGCAGCACACAGCACACAGCACGGCACACAGCACACAGCACACATGAGCACACCTCCATGAAGGTAGCTAGGCAGCCTCACATGGCATCAGCAAAGCAGAGATTTCAAGAATTGTAATAAGCGGTGGTGTCATGCCAGCAACACCCTTCCGGGCACCACGCAGCACGCAGCACGCAGCAGGTAGCACGCAGCAGGTAGCAGAAATCAACACATGAGCGCACCTCCATCAAGCCAGCGAGGCAGCTCCATGAATCAACACGTTCGGGTAGCGGTGTTGCCATGCCAGCAGCACATGCAATCATTCGTAGCAGCACATGCAATCATTCGTAGCAGCACATGCAATCATCCGTAGCAGCACAGGCAAGCATAAAGAGTAGCATAGGCTAGCATGCACAGGAGCACATACACTCACCGCTCCAGGCAGCACACACACAGCACATATGACCGCACAAACACACCTCCATGAAGCCAGCGAGGCAGCTCCACATGGCATCGGGGAAGCGGTGCTGCCGTGCCAGCAGCACTCGATCCGACCGCGCATGCACCACCAGCATTATCACCACCTGCCATGCAGTGCGGTGGAGTGCGGTAAGATGGGGTGGGAGGGATGGGGCATGATGGGATGAAACAGTGCTGCCGTGCCAGCAGCACTCGGTCTGACCGCGCATGCACCACCAGCATTATCACCACCTGCCGTGCAGTGCAGTGGAGTGGGGTGGGGTGGGGTGGGATGGAGTGGGGTTGGGTGGGATGGGGTTGGGGTGGGGTAGGGTGGGGTGGGGTGTTGTGAGTTCATGGGCGCGGGCGTGGAAAGTAATGGGGATTGGGACATTGATGGGTGGGAATGAAGGGAAGGGGAGGGCACGATGGGGTCAAGTCAAGCCGTCACGAGGTGGTTGGCCAGCACACTAGTTCATCACCTGCTGTAGCCTGTAGTACAGCTCACTTTTGAGTCGACTCAAAAGGGGCAAGCAAACTAGTTCATCATCTGCCGTAGCCTGCAGTACAGCTCATTAGTTAAGAACAGCAAAGCACCGCACCCAGCTGACAGGGTGGAAAGACCTCCGGGAAGGAGCAACCAGAACACAGCGAAACAGAGCACATGGATGGTTCAACTTTTTGAGAATTGGAGTAAAAACGTCCAAGCTCACCGGGTGGATGTGGATGAATGGGTTGAGGTCAGCTTGGACGTTTCTTGAGAAGACTCAAATTCTCAAAAGTTGACCCATCCCTGTGCTCACTGGGTGGAGGTCCGCTCAGCAGGTCACTGACAGAGTACTGAGAGCAAGGGAATAGACATGGCTCACAGGGAAAGCGGAGAGAGGCACAGCACCGTACCGGGTCGATGCGAGGGTAGAGCTTGGAGCGGCAGGCAGCGACGGGGCAGAGGCGCCGGTTGCCCGCCTCACAGGGCGCCGTGCGCGCCCCACACGTGCCGCAGAAACGCGCGGAACGATGCCATGCTAGCAGTGCGCGCGCCTGGTGGGGGAAGGGGGGCATGAGAGGCTAGAAGCTGTGAGGTTGCCCGCCTCACAGGGGGCCGTGCGCGCCCCGCAGGTGCCACAGAAGCGCGCCGAGCAATGCCATGCAAGCAGGGCGCGCGCCTGGTGTGGGATAGGGGGGCATGAGAGGTTAGAAGCTGTGAAGCTGCCCGCCTCACAGGGGGCCGTGCGTGCCCCACACGTGCCACAGAAGCGTGCTGGCCTGTACCATGCCAGCAAAGCGCGCGCCTGGTGGGGGGAGGGGGAGAGCGGGAGGGATGCAGAGAGAGGGAGACGAGGGTGGGGAGAGGAGAGCATGACAGCGTGAAGTGTTGCACATGCGCAGGGGCGGGTGCGCCTATAGGCGTGCAGACGCAACGTGGGTGGTGGTGGGCGGGAGACGCTGTGAGTGGATGCGAGATGAGAGGGTAGAGAGAGGTGCAGAGAGGTGGAGAGAGGTGGAGAGCCTTTGCTCGACTCACATGGCCAGCAATCGCAAGGTCGTGCCTGGCATGGTCATCAAGAGGATGAGTGGCGAGCATGAGCGTGCGCAGGTCCACAAACACTGCCCGCCCATACCCCGCCACCATCACCACCCCTCCCCCTCCCCTCTCCCCTCGCCCTCCTCCCCCCCCTCCTTTCTCTCCTCCCTCTCCTTGTCCCCCTCCCCCACCCCCATCTTTGCTGCCCCCACTACCCCTGTTGCCATTCCCTTGTCCGCTACTGGCTAATCCTCCTCCCTCGCTCCCTGCATCTTTCACACCAGCAGCAGGCGGAACGGACGCGTCACGACCAGGAACGGCAACAGCACCGGCAGCTGCTGTGCTAGGCTCGGCAGGTGCAGCCAGTGCAGGCTCGGCGGCAGGTTCGGCAGGCGTGTCAGGGCTGGGAGGAGGCGTGGCAGGAGTTGCCAGGCTGGCAGTGAGTCGCTGACCCGCCACGCCCCCGCCTCCTCTTCCCCCTCCTCCCCCTCCTCCCCCTCCTCCGCCTCCTCTCACTTCTGCACCAGTGCCTGCCGCAGCACTAGCGGAAGCATTAGCAGCGGTGGGGGCGGCATTTGCAGCAGCAGCCGACAGTGCAGCAGAAGTAGTAGCAGTGGCGGAGGCAGCAGCAGCAGAGGCGGAGGCGGCAGCAGAGGCGGAGGGATCGAGCTGAACTTCGAGGGCGAAGTGGGGCGCGCCGTGCCTCTCCCCCAGATACACCAGCTTCTCCCGCACCCTGCTGCTGCCACTGCCGCTGCTACCCCCGCCCACGCTGCCTTCAAACGAGGACAGAGGCTGCCAGGCCAGGCACCAACCTGAGAGCAACGTGTCCGAGCCTACTGCCGAACCTGCTGCCGAACCTGCTGCTGAACCTGCTGGCGAACCTGCCTCTGGGTCTACTTCCGGGCCAGATTGCCGAGAATCCGTAGGAGTTTCGGAATCGACGGCAGCGGCGGCGGCGCATGGAAGGCGGCGCTGCGACCAGGCGACGAGGACGCGCCCGTCCAGAACCGCCAGCACCTGCGGCTCGATTCGGATTTGATTCGATTCGATCCGGATCGCATTCGGTTCGCTTCGCGAAGAATTTGGTGTGCCTAAAAGAGTCGACGCGCTGCTGGACCCGTGAAGACTCGATATAGGCACGTCGCCGGGCGGCAGGGAGTAATGCGCTGGTAACGAGGATGTTCTTGACGGGGGCACGGCGCGCAGCAGATGCGCGGCGCCTAAGGGTGATTTCGCGGGCGCGGAGCCGGGAAGCGCGGAGTTAGGGCGGGAGGAAAGCGGCGGGAGTGGAGGCGTGGCGGGAACGCTGTCAGGCGGGCTGAGGAGCTGCGCCACGCTGGCTTTCTCCTGCTTACATGGCAGCAGCGGATTCCCCGCGAAGAAATTGGGACCGCGCGGCGATGGCGGGGAGGTGCGCGAGGGCGACGCCATGGGCGCAGAGGGCGCTGCTGGCCTCCGCGGTGCTTGAAATCACGTAAGCAGGAATGAGGCTGTGAGGGAAGTTGGAAGAAGGGCACCTGTTTGTCGGATGTATGGATCGGTTACCACAGTACTTCGCCCAAAAGCTTCCCCGCGAACGATCGCCATAACCGGATGAGGTCAATTGTTCACGGCTTCGTCGAGTCTCACTCTCTACACGATCTGATCGTACCAAAAGAGCCAATCGATCGAGACTTCGCGAAAGGCGAGCAAAAGCCAACGCGCTGGTTTCGTGAAGTAAATGATGTGGCGGTTCGCGCATTCGAGATATCGCAATTTGGGTTGCTGTGTGTTTTGCGAAAATCGTAAATTGTCTTATCAGGTCGCGTTACAAATGACACATCGCACGAGGTTCGTCAGTTTTTTTCGAGCCTCTTGTTTGTGTCAATGTGAGCGGGAAGGGGAACGCGTCCCGTTCACATCGAACGGTCAATGTCTATCTTCCAGCTGATCGAACGGTAAAGACTGTTTCCCCAACCTACGCGTCACTACCGCAATAATTGATCCCCCAAATGTATTCGTCGAACCAAATTTGTCACAAAAGGCGGCTCGACTTTCTCACCTCCGTTCTCGAAACATAAATCTGGGTGGGCGAGACATTTCTTCCCCATTCTCACACACCCCGCCATTGCCATTCTAGTGCGCATCATCGCATCAACTACTACAGCATACGTTGGCGATTCAGCTGTGACCAACCCTCTGTCCCGACTACGTTTCTCTTGCTACCTTCCCCATTCCGCGCTCCCCTGGTCTAAACGTCCAACGACGTCCAACGCGGAGCTTCCATCAACGCGGACGCGCGGCAGCTTTTCAAACCCGAAGGTTGAGGCTACGACACTCACCTCCAGCCACCGCACACGCCATGGCGCCGACGTGGAAGTTTTATGTTCTCGCCGTCGTCGGCATGCTGGCATTGCTGCTGGCGCCTGCAGCGGCACTGCCCAGCAAGGAGGATCTGTGTAGCATCCCAAAAATTGGGCTCACAAAATCCTACCCCAGGGTTTCCCCCAGGTTACCCCGCTGTGGGTAACCCAAAGGACTCCATCTAGGAGTCCTCGAGGTCACCTCAAAGTTCGTTGTGACCTCGAGGTTACCCACAGAGGTAACCTACAGGAAACCGTCTTGTCACCACATCGATTCCCCTCCCACGTTTCTGGAGCCAATCAAGCGACACCGTCGATCGCGCTGCGAGGGGCTAGAGAGCGTGTGGTGTGGTAGCCTGCCTCACAGGGCGCTGTGCTGTGCTGAGCCGTGCCGTGCCGTGCCGTGCCGTGCCGTGCCGTGCCGTGCCGTGCCGTGCCGTGCCGTGCCGTGCCGTGCCGTGCCGTGCCGTGCTGTGCTGTGCTGTGCTGTGCTGTGCTGTGCGGTCGCGCCCCACAGGTGACGCAGAAGCACGGAAAACGATGCCACGCTAGCAGGGCGCGCGCCTGGCGGCGGGGAGGAGAGGAGGGGGAGGGGGCGGGGGATGGGGAGGGATGCAGACAGAAGGAGGAGGGGGGGGGGGGTGCGTTGGCCTGAATGGACGGCAACAGGATGGCGGCATGAGGGCGTGAAGTGTTGCGGATGAGCAACACCGAGAGGCTGTCAGTGGGTGGTGGTGCAGATGTGCACTCAGTAGGAGTGCAGGAGCAAATTGGGGTTGTGGGCGAGCCTTCGTTCAACTCACATGACCAGCTATGGCGAGGTCTGGTGGGCATGGGTGTCAAAGGGGTGCGTGGCGAGCATGCGAGTGCCTAGAGTCTGTTCCCCACCCCACCCCACCCCATCCCATCCCATCCCATCCCATCCGACTCCTGCGTGCCTCTCCCCCAATACACCAGCTTCTCCCGCCGCGCCCTGCTACTGCCCCCTCCGCCGCTGCTGCTACCCCGGCCGGCGCTGCCTTCAAACGAGGACAGCGGCTGCTAGGCACCAATCGGAGATCAATGCGTCCGAGCCTACTGCCGACCCTGCGACTGGATCTGTTGCGGCGCAGATTTCCGAGCCGCCAGAGGAGGTACGGCATCTGCGGTAGCGGCAGCGGCGGATGGAAGGCGGCGCTGCGACCAGGCGACGAGGACGCGCCCGTCCAGAACCGCCAGCACCTGAGGCTCGATTTGGATTTGATTTGATTCGGATCGGATTTGATTTTGGTCGAGTAGAATTAGATTCGCTTCGGGTGGTACTTGACTCGGCGGCATCCGGCGTGCCTAAAAGCGTCAACGCGCTGCTGAACCCGTGCAGACTCGATATAGGCACATCGCCGGGCGGCAGGGAGTAATGCGCTGGTAACGAGGACGTTCTTGACGGGGACACTGCGCGCAGCAGATGCGCGACGCCGAGGGGGATATAGTTGAAGATGGTTAGCTAACAACGACCTAAGGAAAAACTACCGGGCGCGGATCCCGGAAGCGCGGAGATAGGCCGGGAGGAAAGGAGCGGAGGCGTGGTGGGAATGCTGTCGGGCGGAGGCTGGGGAGCTGCGCCACGCTGGCTTTCTATTGCTTACGTGGCAGCTCAGCGGATTGCCCGCGAAAAAGTTGGGATCGCGCGGCTATGGCGGGGAGGTGCGCGAGGGTGACGCCATTGGCGCGCACGGCGCTGCTGGCCTCCGCAGTACCTGAATTTACGCAAGTCGGAATGAAGTTAGGCAGCAATGGAAGAGAGCGTGTGTACGGTAGTGCGGTATTCTAGGTGGTTCGGGTTGGGCACTCGAGATAGTCGGTGTATGGACTGGTTACCCGGTCGCTGCCTAATAACTCTGCTAAGTGCCGAAACGAAACATTACCACAACAACATCTGAGCTTCTGCTTGATGTCGCGAAAAATCGCCACGGTTGGTTGGTCGATCGATCACGACTTCGTCTACTTGCACGCTCTACATGATATGATCGTAGCGGAGGAGTCGATCGATCACGACGTCGCGAAACGGGGGGGTTGGCCAACGCGAGGGTTTCGTGACGTGCATGGTGTGGCATCTCGCATGCGAATTAGCAATTCAGGTTGCTGTGTGTTTTGCGACAGTCGCAAGTGTGCTTGTTTGGGGTAATGTAACACTGCGCGGGCACATCAAAATCATGGCGACAGTAATAACGTCAGTCGCACATCGACATGGCAATCATTTTCCTCCGTCGATTGTAGATTGATCTACGGTCCGCATCCTCCAAAATTGACGGTTTTACCGCGCTCTTAGGGTTTTCGCGCGTGGCAGCCGCTAATTTCGCCCTCCTTTTGTAGCCACTAATTTCGGCCCAGTTCGTCTTCATTTAGCTATTTCTTCCCATAATCCTCGTCCGCCGCGCCCCAACCAGTCGCCGCGCCCAATTCCCGTCGCCGCCGCCTTCCGTCTCGCTGAGTTTCCATCACGTTCCCGAAATTCTAACGCGTGCCTGATATTCTGTCAATTTCGCTTTTGAGTCTCATCGCGGCTCGCTTCATCCAGTCGCGATGCCGGGCCCGCTAGCGACAGAGGAGGCGGCGGCGGCGACTGCCGCGGAGAATCCGCCGTCGAATCCGGCAGTTGACGAGGAGGAAGGATTGGGAGATGACGTGGAGGAAGGCGAGGAAGCAACGGAGGTGTGTCGTGAGTGACAAGTTTTTTTTGCGGAAGAGGGTAAATGAAATTGCTACTGCTGGGCAGACGCAGATGTTCGGAATTATTGCTGCTAGAAGGCCGCGTGTGCTACCATGCGGCGGCGAGCTGCGTGTGACGCGGCGCCGGGCAGAATCTTTTCACTTGAGACATGTGGGGGTTTGTCGTGGCTCGCCTAATTGTCATTTTGGATTCTGTCTTCGAATGAATTTCCCCTCTCGTCTCATTCTTGGACCTCTCTTTATCCCCCACCCCCGCTCCCCTTTCCCCCTCTCCCCTCCCTCCCTCTCCCCCCTCCCCCGCTCTCCCCCCCCCCTCCCCCCTCTGTCGGCGACTGTGAGCCTTTGCGTTTGCAAGACTCGTGGGGAACGCTCTGCTTTTGAGAAGCTATTTCTGATTCCTCATTCCACTGAGAACAATTGTAGGAGACTCTTTATTGACCATGCATCACGAGCCGGACGTTCCCTACCTTGTGCTGTGCCGCGTGGCTTGGTGTGGTGTGGTGTGGTGTGTTCTGGGTTGGTGCGGCGTGGCGTGGTGGGGCGTGGTGTGGTGGGCCGTGGTGTGGTGTGGTGTGGTGTGGTGTGGTGTGGTGTGGTGTGAGATGGTGGATGGCAGGAGAAAGGGGCGGGAGGACAGAAGAGCAAGAAGAAGAAGAAAAAGAAGGGCAAGAATGGAGGAGGGGCGCAGCAGCAGGGGCAGGGGCAGGAGGAGGGTGCAGGTGGGGCTGTGGAGAGTGGGGAGGCATCATCGAAAGGGGAAGGAGCAGCGGAGGGAGGGACGGAAGGGGAGGGCGGTGATGGTGGCGGAGCAGGTGAGTGAGTGAGTGAGTGAGTGAGTGAGTGAGTCAGTCAGTCAGTCAGTCAGTGAAATGGTGCTTTCCCATCTGCTGCTGCGAGTAGCACTGGTGCCGCTAGTACCCTTTCTGTTGCTGGTATTGCTGCTGCCAGTAACGCTACACGCTGCTGCCAGTAACGTTGCAGCTAGTAGCACTGGTGCCAAGAACACGGGGTTAGATTGCTGCTAGTAGTGCTGCTGCTGCTGCTGCTGCTGCTAATGATGGTGATACTGCCAATGACAGGTTCCCAACCCATGTCGCACTGCCTTCTCTTGCCATTGTGTAGGTCCTGCCATGCCTCTCTATTATCCCTTCTCTCGTACCCTGTGCCGCAAGTGTTCTCTTTCCCTCACACCCAAACCCCACTCGTCTCCCCTTTCCCTCGTCTCTGTGCTGGTTAGAGGAAGCGGGTGAAGGCACAGCCACCAAGAAAAAGCGCAAGCCCAGGTGAGGGGTGGTGCGGAGAAGAGGAGTGAGAAGGCCATAGGATTCGAGCTTGAAGGGAAGATGAATGAAATGGCACGTACACATAACGCATGCTCGTTGCATGCATGCGCATGCACAAGAACTCATGCATTCACACACACGTGCTTGCATTGCATGCATACATGCACACGCTCACTTACACACACGCATGCATGCATACATGCACGCACTCACTTACACACACGCATGCATGCATACATGCACGCACTCACTTACACACACGCATGCATGCATACATGCACGCACTCACTTACACACACGCATGCATGCATACATGCACGCACTCACTTACACACACGCATGCATGCATACACTCGAGTACGTTGAGCCTCTAACACGCATCTGTGCTCCCTTTTTGCTGTGCAGGAAGAGGGGTGGCGCGGGGGCAGCAGCGGCAGCGGCAGCAGCAGCAGCAGCAGCAGCAGCGAATGGTGATGCAGAAAACGGGGAAGCAGCAGCATCATCAACAGGAGCAGCAACGCCAGCATCAGCAACAGCAGCAGCAGCAGCAGCAGGGGCAGCCGCGAGTTCAGACGGATCCCCCCAGTGTGCCGGTGAAGGACCTTTTCCCTGATGGGCTCTTCCCTCAAGGGGAGATCTGCGACTACAAGGACGAGTGAGTGCGGCCAGTGTGGGCATTGCGTTGAGTGGAACATTGCGTTGAGTGGAACAGACGTTTAGGTCCGGACGGATAGGACACTTTGAGTCGACTCAAAAGCAGAGGTGGCAAGTGAGAGAGGTGCTGCTCTGCTGTGCTGTGCTGTGCGAGTAGAACAAACAACGAGGTCCGGACGGACAGGACCTTTTCCTCAAGTGCGAATGTGCAACTATACGGACGAGTGCCACCAGTGTGAGCGATGTGGGGCCTGCATGGACACAGGGAGTGAGGTGAGGTATATATATATATATATATATACATATATATATATATATATATATATATACACCGCAACACCACTTCCTTCCCCTCACTGCTCTGTTCGCCTCACCGCCCTGTTCGCCTCACCCCACCTTTTTGTTCCGTTTTGCGTGTATAGCAGCAACGTGTGGCGCAAGACGAGTGCAGAGAAGTGCGAGCAGGAACAGCGCGAGTATTGAGGCACTTTTGAGAATTCTTAAAAATAAAATAGTACCCCCCAACCACACCCGTATCCCTCTTCCTTTCTTCCCCCCTCCCACCCCTTCTTTTCCGCCCAACCGCTTCTTGTATGCGTTCCCTGCTCCCTGTGGCAGCAACCTGGGGCGCAAGACAAGTGCGGAGAAGCGGGAGCAGGAGCGGCTGGAGTTCCCGATCCTCAACGACCTTCGGCAGGCCGCCGAAGTGCACCGGCAGGTGAGGATTGAGGGGGGCGGTGGGAGGGAAGAGGGAGGGCTTAGGGTTTAGAGAGCAGGAACGGGCGGAGTTCCCCATCCTCAACGACCTTCAGCAGGCTGTGGAGTTCACCGGCGGCAGGTGAGGATGGAGGGGTTAAATGGGGTGGAAAGAGGGAGGGCTTAGGGTTTAGAGAGCAGGAACGGGCGGAGTTCCCCATCCTCAACGACCTTCAGCAGGCTGTGGAGTTCACCGGCGGCAGGTGAGGATGGAGGGGTTAAATGGGGAGGAAAGAGGGAGGGCTTAGGGTTTAGAGAGCAGGAGCTTGTGGAGCTTCCCATCCTCAACGACCTTCGGCAGGCTGTGGAGGTGCACCAGCAGGTGAGGATGGAGGGGTTACATGGGGTGGAAAGATGAAGGTGGGAAAGTTGCCCGGGGAAGATAGGTGGGGAGTGGGGAACGAGGGAGGGCTCAGAGCTTAGCAGGAGCGACTGGAGTTCCCCAACTTCAACGACCTCGGGCAGGCCACTGAACCGAAGTGCATCGGCAGTTGAGGATGGGGGGGATGATGGGGGGTGGGGGGGAGATGGGAAAGAGGTGCGCAAGTCAGGAATTCTCATGGCAGACCTTTTGTTGTGGGTCACCCACAGCATTCACACCCACTCCCGGTTTAGTTTTGAGGCGCCTCAAAACAAGGCAGGGAATCTCATGGCAGACTTGTCGTGGTGGGCGCCCAGCATGGTCACCCTGAGTACTCACATTCACACCCACTCACTCCCCGCTCCTCTCCCTCCCTTCACCCCTGCTGTGCATGTGTGCATGGCCAGGTGCGCAAGTACATGCGGCAGATGATCAACCAGGCATGCTAATGGCGAGCCTGTGTGGGACCAGGGAACCCCCCCCCCACAGCATCTGAACCCCCGCTCTTGCCTTGCCGCACTTCCCCCGCGCCGCGCCCGCACCACCCCGGTGCGCAAGTACATGAGTGTGATCAATCCGGGCGTTGTCATGACAGACAGACCTCTGTGACACCCTCAGAGCATCTAAACCAACCAAACCCGCTCCAACCTCTTGAACCCTCCTATCGCACCCTCCCCCTTCCCGTGTGCATGTCAGGTGCGCAAGTACATGAGGAGGGTGATCAAGCCGGGCATGCTCATGACGGACCTGTGTGAGACATTCAGAGGATTTAGACCCACTCTCTCCCCTTCTCCCCCTCTTTCCGCCTTTTCCCCTCGTCTCCCTGCCCCCACCGCCCAGCTGCGCAAGTACATGAGGAGGGTGATCAAGCCAGGCATGCTCACGACGGACCTCTGTGAGACAATCAGGGCATTTAAACCCATCCCACCCTTTCCCCCCCTTCACCCCTGGTTCACATCGAATCCCCTTCCGTCAGGTGCGCAAGTACATGAGGAGTGTGATAAAGCCGGGCATGCTGATGACAGACCTCTGTGAGACGCTGGAGGACACGGTCAGGCGCCTCATTGCTGCCCCTCCTCTCCTCCCCCTCTTGTCTCCCTCCCCTTCCATCCCCCACCGCCCAGGTGCACAAGTGCATGTGGCAGGTGATCAAGCCGGGCATGCTCATGACGGACCTCTGTGGGTCACTCGAGCATATTACTAAACCCACCCATATCCGCTCTCCCCGTGTCCACACCCATCCCCAGGTGCGCAAGTACATGAGGAGGGTGATAAAGCCGGGCATGCTGATGACGGACCTGTGTGAGACACTGGAGGACACGGTGAGGCGCCTCATCGCTGCCAACGGGCTGCAGGCGGGCATCGCTTTCCCCACCGGCTGCTCTCTTAACTGGTGTGTCTGTCCGTTAGGCCCAGCCTAGCATCGCCTCATTGCGGCCAATGGGCTGCAGGCGGGCATCACTTTCCCCACCGGCTGCTCTCTTAACTGGTGTGTCTGTCCGTTAGGCCCAGCCTAGCATCGCCTCATTGCGGCCAACGGGCTGCAGGCAGGCATCGCCTTCCCCACCGGCTGCTCACTCAACTGGTGTGTCTGTCCGTTAGGCCCAGCCTAGCATCGCCTCATTGCGGCCAACGGGCTGCAGGCAGGCATCGCCTTCCCCACCGGCTGCTCACTCAACTGGTGTGTCTGTCCGCTAGGCCCAGCACCCTCTCTCCCTCGCCCTCTTCCTCTGCCTCTGTGAGACCCTCGCCTGGAGGACACGCTCATGCGCCTCATAGCCGCCAATGGGCTGCAGGCAGGCATCGCCTTCCCCACCGGCTGCTCCCTCAACTGGTGCGTCTGTCCATTAGGCCCAGCCTAGCATAGCACCCCCTCTGCCGCGCCCTCTGCCTACCTGGAGGCCACGGTGAGGGGGACTAGGCCCAGCTTAGCACCCAGGCCTACCTCATTGCGGCCAATGGCTTGCAGGCAGGCATCGCCTTCCCCACCGGCTGCTCCCTCAACTGGTGCGTCCCTTGCGCCCAGCCCTCCCTCTGTCGCTGCCCCTCCCTCTGTCGCTGCCCCTGCCTCTGTCGCTGCCCCTGCCTCTGTCGCTGCCCCTCCCTCTGTCGCTGCCCCTCCCTCTGTCGCTGCCCCTCCCTCTGTCGCTGCCCCTCCCTCTGTCGCTGCCCCTGCCCCTGCCTCTGTCGCTGCCCCTCCCTCTGTCGCTGCCCCTCCCTCTGTCGCTGCCCCTGCCTCTGTCGCTGCCCCTCCCTCTGTCGCTGCCCCTGCCTCTGTCGCTGCCCCTCCCTCTGTCGCTGCCCCTCCCTCTGTCGCTGCCCCTGCCTCTGTCGCTGCCCCTCCCTCTGTCGCTGCCCCTCCCTCTGTCGCTGCCCCTGCCTCTGTCGCTGCCCCTCCCTCTGTCGCTGCCCCTCCCTCTGTCGCTGCCCCTGCCTCTGTCGCTGCCCCTCCCTCTGTCGCTGCCCCTCCCTCTGTCGCTGCCCCTGCCTCTGTCGCTGCCCCTCCCTCTGTCGCTGCCCCTCCCTCTGTCGCTGCCCCTGCCTCTGTCGCTGCCCCTCCCTCTGTCGCTGCCCCTCCCTCTGTCGCTGCCCCTGCCTCTGTCGCTGCCCCTCCCTCTGTCGCTGCCCCTCCCTCTGTCGCTGCCCCTCCCTCTGTCGCTGCCCCTCCCTCTGTCGCTGCCCCTGCCTCTGTCGCTGCCCCTCCCTCTGTCGCTGCCCCTCCCTCTGTCGCTGCCCCTGCCTCTGTCGCTGCCCCTCCCTCTGTCGCTGCCCCTCCCTCTGTCGCTGCCCCTGCCTCTGTCGCTGCCCCTCCCTCTGTCGCTGCCCCTCCCTCTGTCGCTGCCCCTCCCTCTGTCGCTGCCCCTCCCTCTGTCGCTGCCCCTCCCTCTGTCGCTGCCCCTCCCTCTGTCGCTGCCCCTCCTTGTGCCTCTGCCTTTGCCTCTGCGTCTCCTTTTTCTTCTCCCTCTCTCTCTGCGTCGCTGCTCCCTTGGTCTGCTGTGCTGTGCTGTGCTGTGCTGTGCTGTGCACGTGCCTGCCACGCTGCACTCGGGTGTGTGTTGGTTGCATGCAAGTGGGTTTCTCTGTGCTAACTCTTTCCTCTGCAATTCCTTCCAAAGCCCTGCCTGGACCTGACATTGTGTGGCATGCTGCATGTGCATGTATGCGTGTGTGCATGTGTTGTGTGTGCGTGCATTTGTGCATGTGTCCCCATGTCCCTGTGTCCATGGGTGTGCATGCACACATGCATGCATGTGTGAATGTGCATATGCATGTGCATGTGCATGTGCATGTGCATCCCATCCATGCCAGGGTGGCAGCCCACTGGACGCCCAATGCAGGCGACAAGACAGTACCGCAGTATGATGATGCCCCTGTGTGCCTGTGTGACTGTGTCCCTGTGCCCATGTCACCATGTGCATCACCTCCCCATCCATGCCAGGGTGGCAGCCCACTGGACGCCCAATGCAGGCGACAAGACAGTACTGCAGTATGATGACGTCATGAAGCTCGACTTTGGCACGCACATCAATGGTAAACCCCAAACCCATGCATGGACCCATAGGCACATTATTGGTAAACCCGTAGTTTGTCTCTGTGTGATATGCACATTGGAGGTGGGGGTGAGGTGACGGTGAGGGTGAGGTGAGGAGGGTGGTGTAACATTTCAGTACTGCAGTATGATGACGTCATGAAGCTCGACTTTGGCATGCACTTCAGTGGTAAACCATACACTAATTTATCGACCCAGAAGCACATTACTGGTAAATTTCTGAATCAAATCGATATGCACATGGAGGTGGGCGTGAGGTGAGGGGGTGGGAGTGAAGAGTGGGCTTCATAATTCGTCCTTTTTCCCCTTTGCACACATCCATTCCCCCGTCCTCCCCCCCCACGTTTCCCCCATCTTCCCCAGACTCAAGTCGACTAGAAAAAAGGAGTCGTATTCACCAAGTAACCATCAACAGCAAGAGCTTTCGTTATCACCACTCTCTGCCTGTCCCCTCCCCTTTTGCACCCCCCGCCGCATAGTGGACTGTGCGTTCACAGTGGCGTTCAACCCACAGTACGATCAACTGCTGGAAGCGGTCAAAGACGCCACCAAGTTTTCAACGTGCGCCTTTGCCCTTCCCGCCCCCTTCTCTTCTCGCCTTCCCCATTCTCTGCCCTCCCTCCCTGCCCTCTGCTCCCATTGCATCCCCCAGGCCGCATAGTGGATTGTGCATTCACAGTGGCGTTCAACCCGCAGTACGATCAGCTGCTGGCAGCGGTCAAAGATGCCACCAACACGGGCGTGCGCGAGTGCGGCATCGACGTGCGCCTGTGCGACGTGGGATGTGCCATTCAGGAAGTCATGGAGTCATACGAAGTCACCATCAACGGGAAAACATTCCCTGGTGAGATGATCCGTTGGGTGCTTCTTATGTCGTGTGTAGCGTGGCTTTTGGAGGGACCCATTGGTAGGCTGTGCGACATGGGGTGTGCCATCCAGGAGGTCATGGAGTCATATGAAGTCACCATCAACAGCAAGACCTTCCCTGGTGAGCCACGCTTGTGCTGTCTGTATGTAGATTATCTCTTGAAGGAGGCAGCTTGTCGGCTCTAGTGTGTGATGTGGGGTGTGCAGTTCATTCACCACATGTGGGATGTGAGGTGAATGAAGACACCATTAACGATCCCCCATCCCCCCGTCTTCCTCTCCCCCTTCCCCCATGTGTGCAGTGAAAGCAATCCGCAATGTGAACGGGCGCAGCATCGGGCCGTACCGGATTCACGCGGGGAAGAGCATGCTGCTGGTTGTTGAGATGACTCAAACCCCATCCTCACCCTTCGCTCCTCTTCCCCGCCCCCCTCATCCCTGCAGTGAAAGCGACTCACAACCTGATGGGGCACAGCATTGGACCCTACCACATCCCCATGGGAAAGAGCATGACGATCGTTGAGACGTCTCAACCCCCCGTTACCCCCCGCAATCCGCCTCCCATCTTCCTCTAACACATGCAGTGAAAGCAATCCGCAATTTGAACGGGCACAGCATTGGCCCCTACCAGATCCACGCGGGGAAGAGCGTGCCGATCGTGAAGGGTGGCGAGGCGACGCGCATGGAGGAGGGGGAGCTGTTTGCCATCGAGACGTTCGGGTCCACCGGCAAGGGCTATGTGCGCGAGGACCTTGAATGCTCGCACTACATGAAGGTGGGGCTGCGTGTGGGGATGGCGCATGCATGAAACATGATGCATGGTGCATATTACATGCAAGGGCTACGTGCGCGGAGACCTTGAGTGCTCTCACTACATGAAGGTGGGCATAGGTGCATGATGGTGCATGATGGTGGATGATGGTGGATGATGGTGCATGATGGTGCATGATGGTGCATGATGGTGCATGATGGTGGATGATGGTGGATGATGCATGGTGCATACTGCAAGTCCGCAAACAAGGGCTACATGCGTGGAGACCTCGAGTGCTCTCACCACATGAAGGTGGGGCATGGCGTATGGTGCACTGTCGTTCCTTGCCTGTTGAATGGGTGGTATTAGTGTTGCTGCATGTGCTGCCGTCTTGTTTGCGTTGCTAATTCGTTTCTCGTGACTGATATAATTGTTGCATTTGTTCTTCCTCTGCTCATTTCTGCCGTGTACGATCCGGTTTACTTTCCTGCCTTAATGATTCTGTGTGTGTCCTGCCCCATGCTTCCATGTCTCCATGTGGCCTCGTGTGTGCTGGCACGAATGTGGTCAACAGAACTTTGACGTGGGACACGTCCCTCTCAGGTGACTGCCGCCTAACAAACCAACTTACCATCTTTCCCTCCATTCGTCCATCCTTCCTTCCTTCCTTCCTTCCTTCCTTCCTTCCTTCCTTCCTTCCTTCCTTCCTTCCTTCCTTCCTTCCTTCCTTCCTTCCTTCCTTCCTTCCTTCCTTCCTTCCTTCCTTCCTTCCTTCCTTCCTTCCTTCCTTCCTTCCTTCCTTCCTTCCTTCCTTCCTTCCTTCCTTCCTTCCTTCCATCCATCCCTCCATCCGTCCGTCTGTCCGTCCGTCCGTTCGCCCGCCCGCCCGTCCGCCTGCCTGCTCGCCATCCTGATCCTTTTTCTGTATCGTTGCATCCATCCTTCCGCTCTACACGTCGCATCCATCCTTCCGCTCTACACGTTGCCTCCATCCATTCCCGCGAGCTTGAGCAACGTTGGAAGGTTGAGAGAGTTTGCGCTAAACATGCTCCCCCGGCTAGCACAAGTAGCATGATCTCTGCCCCATTTCTTCGATATTGTCTCTCTGGAAAGATTCCAACGGTGCAATTCTCTGCTGAAAACCAATACGTTGCCAAGGATGAGGGTATTGAGCTTAGCCAGTAAAGTCATGCCAGCGGTCAGGCCCACGTACTCAATTTTAGTGGTAGAGTGAGCCGCCGGAAGCTTTCCAGGGAGAGAATATCGAAGAAACGGGGCAGAGATCTTGCTGTCTGTGCTAGTTGAGGGAGCTTGCTTAGTGCCAACTCTTTCAACCTTCCAAGGTTGCTTATCCCAGTTTTACTCTACTGCTGAATTTGGGTTCTAAGATCGCTTTAAGCACTTAGTTTTACATAGGGCGGATATTCCGCTGTTGTTCTTTTGCTGAAGCCTACTACACACGTGCAGCTCAGTAAGAAATGGCTGAACATTGCATCCATCCTTCCGCTCTACACCATCCATCTCCGCCCCTCCTCAAAGTGCCTCTTTTCTACCTTTTGTCTTCATATTCGCTTCTCTACTATGCTTTACCACTTTTGTCTTCATATTCGCTTCATCTTTCTCCTTTCCGCCTCCCCTCTTTCCTCGCCATCCTTCCCCATCCCCTTCCTCTCCCCCTTCCCCACTCCCTTCGTTGCCTCCCGCCCCTCAGGCTGCCACGTGCCAAGCAGCTATTGGCCACAATAGATCGCAACTTTGGCACGTTGGCGTTCTGCCGGCGTTATCTGGACCGTCTGGGCGAGACCAAGTACCTCATGGCGCTCAAGAACCTCTGTGACGCCGGAGTGGTGCAGGTGGGTGCCTGCGGTAAATAGATGGGTGCACATGGGTGCGGGTGCAGTGCAGGTGGGTGTACATGGGTGCGGGTGCAGTGCAGGTGGGTGTACATGGGTGGGCGCCTCTTTTGAGCGTTGAATTGACTCAAAAGGCTGGGTGAGACCAAGTACCTCATGACGCTCAAGAACCTCTGTTGACGCTGGAGTGGTGCAGGTGGGTGCACATGGGTGCATGGAGTGCCTGCCTGAAGTAGTCAGGGGCAGTGCGGTGCAGGTGGATGGGTGCATGTACCCTGGTTGGGCTGGGCGAGACCAAGTACCTCATGGCACTCAAGAACCTCTGCGATGCCGGAGTGGTGCAGGTGGGTGCACATGGGTGCACATGGGTGTGCGTGAATGCCTGCCTGCAGTCCAGGTGCATTGTGGTGCAGGTGGGTGAGTGCGTGTACCCTGGTTGGGCTGGGCGAGACCAAGTACCTCATGGCTCTCAAGAACCTTTGCAACACAGGCATGGTGCATTTGGGTGCAGGTGGGTGCACATGGGTGAACGTGGTGCTCATGGTTGCACATGGGGGCGAGGGCATGTGCAAGGGGAATCGCCCATCTCTCAAGCACCTGATGGCGCCCCACAATGTGCGTGACGCCAGGGTGGTGCAGCAGGTGGTGGGGTTGGAGTAACTACCTACGCGCACTAGCTGCCTGATTGTGCACAGCAAGTATTTGGGGTGTGCGTAAATGAATGGTGGAGCTGCCAAGCTTTGAGACGTCAAAAGACAGCAGTTGCAAGCAGGTGTGTTGGGCCTACCGTATAAGACTGTGGCGCAAGGACTTGAGGGTGGGCAATAACGGGGTTCAGGGATGGATGGACGGATGGCGCCTCGTTTGCCTTGCCTTGGCCTTACCCAGTCCGACCCGTCCCTCATCCCACGCGCCCATCCCAACCACCTTGAGTCGACTGAAAAGTCGCTCTTACCACGCTCCATCTCACCCATCCCCCACCCCTGGCCCCCACCTGTGCACCCGCTGTTGTGCGAGACTAAGAGCACCCACGTGGCTCAGTTGCCGTGCCTCTCTCTTATCTCCCATCTCACCTATCCCACACACCCCTCCCACACCTGTGCAGCCGCACCCACCGCTGTGTGGGACCAAGGGCAGCTACGTGGCACAGTTTGAGCACACACTCATCCTGCGCCCCACGTGCAAGGAGGTTCGAGGTGCCCTTTGAGTTGACTCAAAGCCGCTCTTACCCCGTCTCACCCGACCCCCATTCCACACATCGCCCCCCTCCCCACCCGTGCAGCCGCACCCACCGCTGTGTGAGACCAAGGGCAGCTACGTGGCTCAGTTTGAGCACACACTCATCCTGCGCCCCACGTGCAAGGAGGTGCTCTCACGGGGAGATGATGACTTTTAGGCAACAGTACCATAAGAGGAGACCTTGAGGCGTGCAGTAGGCACATGGGCTTGCTGTAGCGCGAGGCGCCTTGTCTCTCCAAGGGCACCTAGCGTGGCTCAGTGTGAGCAGCGCACACACGCTCATCCTCCGCCCCACGTGCAACAAGGTGCTGTCAAGTGGGGAATACTCTAGGCCCTTGCATGGCGACTCGCCGTCACGCAGACCTATAGGTGTGCAGTAGGCGTGTGTTGTGATGGGCATGCTGTAGGCTGTGTTGTCTTGTCTCTCCAGGGGACGGTTGCCCAGGCAGGGTGAGGCTCATTGCCAGTTACACTCAAAGCAGTTTTGAGTCTGGTTGGGTGAGTAGGTAATGGTAGAGCAGGGGACCGTGGCATGTGCTGCTCTCAATTTGTGGTCGAGGGTTTAGTTGAATCTCTGTGCATGCAACTCCTGTTGCCAATGACAGCAGATTGCTGTTGGAATTTTACTATCTTCAGTGGAATATTGATTGGCCGGACAGCACACGGATGACTAAAAGACTGATTCAGAGCTGCTCCCTGCATACCTGCCCGCCCTCAAGCAGCTTTGAGCATAAATTGCTCCGCACAGTTGACCAGAGGGGCCTAGCCAAACATCACCCTCTAACGCGGTTGCAAGGTAGCATCATCAAGAGCAAACAGCTCTTTATTCAACGTGCCCTCACCACAACTAAGGTACCCTAGCCTCTGTCACTTACAGCAACTCAAGGTGGAACTTATCACAAGTACGGTAAAACAGGCTAATCTCCAACTCTACTCCCTCGGCTGAACCGAATCCACGCCATGGATGATAAACAGCTTGCCTCTGTAAATCGCCTGTTCCTTGATCTTAGCCTTGCCCTTTCCAATCGTCACCTTCTTCCGCCCACTCTTGCTATCCACAACCTCTTCCGTACCCACGCTGCGCCCATTCGCGTTCTTCAGCCCTTTGGCGGTCTTCAAGTCGTCCTCCTCGTACACTCCGTCCAGAATGTTCGCGCGAATCCAGTTCCCGTAAGGGGTAACGTCGCTGCGCGTGAACTTGGATTTCGTGAACGTGGTAACCGCGTCGGGCGCTGCTGAAGCGATGGCCATGTCGTCGGGTAGGAGGACGGTTTTCCCCTCGGTGTTGGCGAGATACGCGTCCGGTGGGTTCCAGTCGGTCTCTGCATCACAGAAAAGGAAAGAAATGATTTGAAAATAACGGTTGCACGAACGTGAGCGATAACGGAGACACGGCACCATCCTTCTGACAGGGGAGCGGAAAACAACTATAAGAGTAATAATAAAAAACAGCGCATGAAACGCAACTAGCATGATTTACCCAAAAACGGGACAAGCAGGACATGCACGGAACGCAAGTAGCATGACTCACCCATGACCGGGACGATATGGTCCAAGAATGTGGCGCTGCTCTTGTATCGGCCGTTCAGCTTGGGGTCGTTGATCGCTTCCTTGGCCGCCTTCACCTCGTTGATCAGATCCTCCTTGCTGGGCCGCGCGGCAGCCGGTGACGCCAGCAGCCATGCGAGCGTAAAGAAGGCGGCGAGGACTGAGAGCTGCCTCGAGAGTCCCATGGCGCGTGCGCAGCGAGGCTGGGGATGAGTGGCTGTGACCTTGCTGGAAGTAGAGCGCAGGAGCAGGAACTGTTGTGAGGGTACGTGGAGGTGTGGGAAATACTGAGCTGAAATTGCAAGCGAATGAGATGCGACTACCTGAATGCGTGCGAGCGTGAGAGGAGGAAGCGCGCGTTCAAGCCGCGTAAGGGCTTCGAGCGTGCGGAAGTCAAACTAACGCGCTGGAGAGCGCAATGAGAGCGAGCAAGAGAGAAGAAGCGCAGAGAGATAGAGAGCAAAAGAGCAGAGGGCGTGCGAGTTTAATGGCAGCGCGGGAGGGACAGAGTGGTAGCTAAAAGACCGAGTGGAAGAGAGCAAAAGGGCAGCTAGGGAGTGGAAGGGAGAGAAAAAGAGCTGAATGGGACGAGAGAAACCGAAAAGGGTGAAAGAGTGCGTGCGAAATGCATGGCCGAGCGATACAGAGGTCGATCGAGCAGGCGGACAAATCAGGCAAATGCGAACGAATCGAAGAGGACAGAGCCATAGAATGGCAGGACGACGGGTCTCACAGAGAAGGCACCGTCACTGTCGCGGTGGCGGACTTTGAATTCACGACGGAGGTCAAATCGGAGCCTAGGTGCCCCGAGCGGGGAATTCGATTTGAGTGAAGGAACTTGATCTAGCTGGAGCAGCGTAAGCAGCAACAAGAGCATCGATTTATATGATTAGAATGAGCACACACCTCACTGCAAATCCCTGGAGACGCGTCACATCGTGTGACGCGAAGTGACGCGTCGCGAGGGGATGAGGTCAAACGTCCCTACGACAGGACCGACTATGCGCAGGACGTTTTTCTGGCAGTAGCGGTGCGATGGCGGTCGACATTGAATTGAACGATCGATCGTCACACGCGACGCGTCCTCAGACAATTATCGAAGCGCGAGTAGACCGAGGGACAACGATCGAGTTTGATGACATAGACACAACCTCGTTAGCATACTAACAAGAAAACTAACAAACGGGTAAAGAAAGAGGAAAGTACCCATAGCTTAAAAAAATGAGTCATGAAAACAAAATCTTACAGAAAGAAGCGAAACCTTGTTTAATGAAGAACATTTGTTCAGTTTCCTGTACTACTAGATGTGTGTTGTGGTGAATGTGTGGGCGTGTGGGCGCGCGCGCGCGCATTTGAAGTATTTTTCAAACTTCAGGAAATTCAGCAGAAAATGTTTTAGTGCATCCTTGCAGTGCTTATCATGTCCTATGTGTTTTCTATCCCATAGGCATGCATGAAAGCGTCACATCACACTTTGACGGGTCCTTCATTGACGTAGCGGAACCCACTTGCTCTCTCTCTCTCTCTCGCATCATAAACCGTTCCTGGCTCGTCCCTGGCAAATTTCGTTCCATAGAGCCCCGAGGCAGCGATTGTAAGGCATACTCTCCGCGCGCACTTGAGCTCAGGCGCTCCGCGCGCACTTGAGCTCAGGCGCTCCGCGCGCACTTGAGCTCAGGCGCTCCGCGCGCACGGGAGGTCAGGGCGCACACGATCTCAGGACGCCAGAGAGCTCCGCGCGCACGAGAGCCCAGCGCGCGGAATGGGGGGAAAGCAGCGTGGCGGCAAGGGGCCGGCTGGCGGAGTGGAATCAGCTGCCGCGGGGACGACGCGGGAGAAGGCGCGGATGGCGGACGGTGCCGGGGAGAAGGGGCGCGCGGGGGGAAGCGCAGGGGAGAAAGGTCGTGGGGGGGAAGGAACAGGAAGAACGGGGCGGGCGGCAGAGGCGGCGCAGGCGGCGGGGATGGCGGAGGTGGCGGTATCGCTGGGGGTGACGGGGCACGCGGGGCACCTCGAGATCATCGCAGTGGACCGCCACCGCTTGCCCCTCCATCCCCGCCTCGCTCCCCCACCCTTCGTACTCGTGCGCGCCTCCCCTTTCCGCGGCCCCTTCAGCCTCCTCGCATGTTACTTTCCGCTATCGCTTCCCCCTCCACCCCTGCCTCGTCCCCCCGCCCTTCCTGCTCGTGCGCGCCTCCCCTTTCGGCGCCCCCTTCCGCCCCTCGCATGTTACCTTTCCCCACTGCTCCCCGTCCATCCACCCCACCTGCCACACGTCATCTTCCCCGCTGCTCTCATGCCCTCATGCCCTCGTGCTGCCTTACTCTTTTGCTGCGCAGCCTACTATCCCTGCATGACCCCAGCTCCTTTTATTTTTGTGTCGACTCAAAGCTCGCACCACGCCCCTTCGCTCTGCCCTATCCCGCCAGCATTCGCGGCCAGTGTTGCGTTTCATCTCCCCGACACCTATTGCTTCACTCAGAGGCAGATGCTTTAATTCTAGGCTGCCAATCTGACGCAGAAGCAGCCAACCAACCCATGCCTCTCCTCCACCCTCCTTCCACGCTCCTCTCAAACTTTCTCTCCCAACCTCTTTCTCGACCCTGCAGCCCAAGCCTCCCTTCCCCGAGCCTCTGGACGTTCGGGATCTACCAGAGCTGTGCCCCCTGGCCGTGTGGGATGACGTGGAGCGCCAGCTGGCGGTGGAGCCGCAGGAGGACGCCATGTGGCAGTACGACTGGATGCCACGTGGCGCCCTGTCAGCCGTGCCACCTGGCGGGCTGGGCAGCGTGCTGCAGCCAGCGTGGCACCCCCCTTGGGTGGAAGAGTGGGGGGACGGGGTATGGGGGGAGGGAGAGGGGGAGGGGGAGGAGGGGATAGGGGAAGGGGAGGGCGAGGGTGTGGGGAAAGGCGAGGGTGCGGTGGAGAGAGGGGTGATGGGACGACCAGAGGACGTGGACGAGGTGAGGTGCTGCCTGCCTGCCTGCCTGCCGCCCATATGCATCATGCATCTGCTCTTTGCCCCCCTCCTTCCCCGTTGCCCCTTTGGTGTCCTTAGCGCCCGTGTTTCTTATTTTGGCCTCCGATGCCCTTCTACTTTCGTCTTTCCCCACCTTCGTCTACCTGCGCCTTCGTGACTTGTATGTCAAGCCCCACCTGCGCCTTTAACTTCGCTCCCTCACCCGGGCACATATCTGGGCGTCACCCGCCGCACTCAAAACAAAACCCTCCGTCGTCCGTTCGGCTCCCCACTCTCCTCGCCGCCCCCAGCAGTTGTTCTTCCCCCCGGCCACGTATCTCCATCTCACCCGTCTGCCCCAATCCGTCCTGGAGCTCGTCCGCGGCACCACTGCCAGCGCTGCCCACCACCTCGCCCTCTCCTCGCAACCTCCCCCCCCCCCTCCTCCGCTCTTCCCCCTCTGCTCTTCCCCCCAGTTGTTCTTCCCCCCGGCCACGTATCTCGATCTCACCCGTCCGCCCCCCTCCGCCCTGTAGCTCGTCCGAGGCACCACTGCTGCTCAACCCTCGCCCTTTCCTCCCACCCCCCCAACCCTCCCTCCTTTCCCCTGCTCTTCCCCTTCCGCCTTCCCCCCACAGCTGTTCTTCCCCCCGGGCACGTATCTCGACCTCACCCGTCCGCCCCCCTCCGCCCTGGAGCTCGTCCGCGGCACCAGTGCCGGCACCGCCCACCCCCTCGCCCTCTCCTCGCACCCGCCCCCACACGCCACTGCTGCGGGTGCAGCAGAGGTGCAACAGGGAGAGGGGCAGCAGCAGCAAGCGGGAAGGGGAAGAGGGGAGTCAGAGGAAGCGCTAGCAGCACTGTTTGCTTTCTTGGAGGGGGGAGCGGAAGGGGGTGGAGGTGGAGGAGGGGCGGGACAGGCGAGGGGCGTTGGGGATGCGTCGCTGCTGCTGAGTGTGCCGCCTGGGTTCACAGAGGGAGGACGGTTTGATGTTAGAGAGGAGGTGAGACACGGGTGGGTGGTGGGATGGGACTTCTGAAATGTCCTGAAAGTCTGTTGAGTGTGCCGCCTGGTTTCACAGTGGGCGGACGATTCGAGGCCAGGGAGGAGGTGAGACACGGGTGGGTGGTTGGCGGGATGGGAGGTCTCTTTCTTGGGGCTTGCATGTGGTTTTCAAAGCATGTCAATGAGAAGTCTCCGCATTTACAAACAGTTGAAATGTAGCAACAATAGCGGTATGCCTCCATCTCCCAGAGAGGGCCATGCTGCTGCGCGCGCTGGCAACCCCCCAAAGAAGCAGGAGGCGAGAAAGCAGCCCCCCTCTGAGCGAATCACACGCTGTGTGCAGTCTTTCTCACCCACCCACCCACCACCCCAACCATCCCCCTCCCAACCCCACAGGGACATGCTGCCACTCTCTCTGCTGCATGCACTGGCATGCCCCCCAAAGAAGCACGAGGCGAGGCAACACCCCCTCTTGCCGTCTCCACCCCCTCTTTGAACGAATCCACTGTGTGCCGTCTTTCCAACTCACCCACCACCTACCCGTCTCCAACCCACCACCCCCAGAGGGACATGCTGCCGCTCTCTCTGCTGCGCGCGCTGGCAAACCCCCCAAAGGAGGTTTCAGAGGTGCTGTCTAAGCAGGCACAGGGCGCGGGCACTGGAGGGGCAGCAGGGGGCGGCGCTGCTGGTGTAGAGGGGGCAGAAGGGGGAGAGGGAGAGGCGGAAGGAGAGGCTGGGCGCGGGCAGGGCGAAGGAGAAGGGGAGAGCGGGAAGCTTGGGTTTGCAGATGTGTTTCAGACAGCTTGGGGTGCTGGGGGGGATGACGAGGAGGGGGAGAAGGAGGAGGAGGAGGAAGAGGAGGAAGAGGAGCAGGAGGGAGAGGAAGAAGTGGAAGGAGAGGAAGGGAAGGAGGTGGGAGGAGGAGGAATGGGCTCTGCAGGTACGTGGTAGCGACATGGTACATGACATGGCACATGACATGGTACATATAGGGCCATTGGTGCAAGGAGGGCAGAGAGGGAAGGAGGTGGGAGGAGGAATGGGCTCGGCAGAGATGGTTGCCTCTGCAGGTACGTGGTAGCGACATGGTACATGACATGGCACATGACATGGTACATATAGGGCCATTGGTGCAAGGAGGGCAGAGAGGGAAGGAGGTGGGAGGAGGAATGGGCTCGGCAGAGATGGTTGCCTCTGCAGGTGCGTGATAGTGGCAAGGCACAGCACAGAGGGCACGGAGGGCACAGAGGGCACAGAGGGTACATACGTTCACACAAGCCGCTATCGTTGCGAGAGGTGCGTTGTTGGTCCCGCGCAGCTCTCCGTTGCCGTTCCATATCATGCCACTTCGATCCCCTGTCCTCCCTCCCTCCCACGCACCGCTCTCAGCCACTACACGGCCATCACCAAAGGGCAAGCTGTGAGAGAGGAAGAGCGGGGCGGCAGCAGCAGTGGATGCGCTGCTGGGGTGCGGGCCCTCTTTCACACTATCCCCATGCTTCCCTTCCCCCCTGCCCACCTCACAGCCACCTCACGGCCGTCACCACAGGGCAAGCTGCGGGAGAGGAAGAGCGGGGCGGCAGCAGCGGTGGATGCGCTGCTGGGGTGCGGGCCCTCTTTCACACTATCCCCATGCTTCCCTTCCCCCCTGCCCACCTCACAGCCACCTCACGGCCGTCACCACAGGGCAAGCTGCGGGAGAGGAAGAGCGGGGCGGCAGCAGCGGTGGATGCGCTGCTGGGGGCGGGCAGGGGGGCGTTTGGCAGCCTCGAGTGGTGGACTGCTGGCTCTGGGCTTGGCCTGTTGGGTGCCGCGCCTTCCACTTCCCGGCCTGCAGCCTCTAAAGAAGTAAGTCTTCAGTCAAGTCAAACGTCATGTTCTTGAGTCATTGCAACAAGAGGCTCTGCTGGGGGCGGGCAGGGGGGCGTTCGGCAGCCTCGAGTGGTGGACGGCTGGCTCTGGCCTGGGGCTGCTGGGTGCTGCTCCTTCTGCCTCCCGCCCTGCTGCTTCTAAGGAGGTAATTGTGGAGTCGACTCGCGCAAGAAGCAGTGCTTGTGGAGGTTGATGATGGATGGGGGGTCGTTTTCTGGTCGATGCAAGAGTCGCTTCATCTTGTAGTAGTCGTCGCAAACAAGAAGCGCAGCGCTGCTAGTAGGAGTTGACGGAGGGTGCTAAATAGTTCAGCAGCCTTGAGTGGTGGACTGGACTACTTGTCATGGAATATACTTCCTCCTTTCGCGAGCTTGCCACCGTCCTGCCTGACAGAAGCACGGGGGGGCGTGGACAGTTTCTCTCACCTTCTCTACTCTTCTTTCCCGCCCCTCTCCCCAATCATTAGGGCCATGCATGGGCGTTCGCAGTGACAGACGGCATAGCGGATCTGGACCGCGAGTTTGCCGCCATCCAGCCCCATGCCTCACTGGGGCATGCGGCATGCGGTCACCATCACAATGCCTCACTGCCCATGCCCCATGCCGCATGCCCCATGCTGCACTGCACCAACCTTGCACCCCTCCCCCCCAAGGGCCATGCATAGGCGTTCGCAGTGACGGATGGCATAGCGGATCTGGATCGCGAGTTTGCCACCATCCAGCCCGACAGAAGCACACAGTGCACCGTCTCTCCTCTTTTCCTCCCCCCCCCATCCCCCCCCATTCCCACCCCACTCGCTAGGGCCACGCGTGGGCATGGGCGGTGACGGACAGCATAACGGATCTGGACCGCGACGCCACCATCCAGCCCGACAGAAGCGTGGGTGTGGGCAGTGACAGAAGCACGTAGCACTGCATATCTCTCACCTTCTCTCCACTTCTTATCCTCGCCTCTCTCCCCACTCGCCAGGGCCACGCGTGGGCATGGGCGGTCACGGATGGTATACCAGATCTGGACCGCGAGTTTGCTGCCATCCAGCCCGACATGGCCATGACCTTCCCCTTCCTGCTCGACACCTTTCAAAAAGAGGTGAGGCATAACATGCAGGTGCCGTGACTTGTAGGTGACATGCAGGTGACATGCAGCTCTTGTCACAGTACCGCCATCCAGCCCCAAATGGCCATGACCTTCCCCTTCCAGCTCGATACCTTTCAGAAGGAGGTGAGGAGTATTAGGCACCATCTAGGTATTGTGAGTGACATGCAGTATAGCCTTCATCAGAGCACCACCGTCCTTCCCGACATGGCCATGACCTTCCCCTTCCAGCTCGATACCTTTCAAAAAGAGGTGCGGCATAACACGCAGGTGCCATGACTTGTAGTATGGCTCTTGTCACACACCACTGCCATCCAGCCCCACATGGCCATGACCTTCCCCTTCCACCTCGACACCCTTCAGAAGGAGTTGGGCAATAGCAAACACCATATAGGTGTCGTTAGTTGTAGTAACAGCCTTCATCACACCACTGCCATACAGCCTGACATGGCCATGTCTTTCCCTTTCCAGCTCGATACCTTTCAGAAGGAGGTGAGGCATAATAAGCACACCGTGTAGGTGCCATAGATTGTATCCTTCTACAGACAAGCATACTGAGCAACGTTTGAGTGGACCGGCCTCGCGGCAACCTCTGAGCGGTCTACACGTCACCCATCAAGGCGTTGTGTGACCGTGGCCTGAAGACCCGGTCTCGCTTGCCTTTTCTGTGTGCTCTCTCTCTCAGGTTTCTGTCCCTTTTCCGCTTGCATCTGCTCTGCTCCCTCTCTCGCCCTCTCTCCACCGCCCACCCCCAACTCCACCCGCAGGCCATAATCCATCTGGAGCGACATGAGTCGGTCTTTGTGGCGGTGCACACATCACCCCGCAAGACAGTTGTCACTGAATTTGCTTTCGTCGTCCTCATGCCCTCCTTCCCACGCATGCCCCACCCATGCACCGTCTATGCCCCGGCAGGCCATAATTCATCTGGAGCGACACGAGTCGGTCTTCGTGGCAGCACACACGTCAGCGGGCAAGACAGTCGTGGCAGAATACGCCTTCGCGCTAGCTGCCAAGGTGCGTGCTGCACTGCACTGCAGCTGTGCGCTGACAGAGGCCTTTTGAAAACACTCACGTCAGACCCTTAAGGCAGTCGTGGCAGAATACGCCTTCGCCATTGCTGCCAAGGTGTGTGGCGTGCTGCACCGGCTTTGCTGCACAGCACAGCTCGCTGCCACGGTGCTTGCATGGTGACTTGTGAGTCGCTTCAAAGGCGCACACGTCAGCGGGCAAGACAGTCGTGGCAGAGTACGCGTTCACCCTCGCTGCTAAGGTGCGTGTCAGGGACCTCAGCGTGCGCCCCGAGGCCGCCTGCCTCATTGCCATTGGCTTTTCCACATTTCCCCCACCCAGCCCCCCTGTCCCCTCACCCCATCCCCCGTATCCCTCCCTCGGGCCCTCCCTTTTCCCCTTTTCACCAACAGGACTGCACCAGAGCGGTCTACACGTCACCCATCAAGGCCATCAGCAATCAGAAGTTTCGAGACTTCAGCAAGCGATTCGACGTGGGGCTGCTGACAGGGGACCTCAGTGTGCTGCTGACCCCTCCTGTCTGCTCTCACCAGCCCAACCCCTCATTCCCCTTCTCCCCTTCACCCGCTGGCCTATCCCCCTGTCACACACCCCTCCCCCCCCCCCCCCAACAAACACAGCACTGCACGCGGGCGGTCTACACATCACCCATCAAGGCCATCAGCAATCAGAAGTTCCGAGACTTCAGCAAGCGATTCGACGTGGGGCTGCTGACAGGGGACCTCAGCGTTCGCCCCGAGGCCGCGTGCCTCATCATGACCACCGAGATCCTGCGCTCCATGCTTTATCGTGCAGCAGATATTATCAAAGACATCGAATGGGTGCGTGCTCGGGTGTTTGTGGGAGTGCTGGTGCAAGCATCTTTGTCATAGGTGTGTGTGTGTGAGTGTGCGCCCCAAAACCGCCTGCCACATCATGGCCACAGAGATTATATGATCCATGCTGTACCGCGCCGCTGACACATTGAAGGGTGCGTGCTCGGGTGTGCTGGTGTTTGTGTGATTGTTGGTGCATGTGTGTCATGTGTGTGTGATGTGTGTGTTGAGGCCGCGTGCCTCATCATGACCACGGAGATCCTGAGGTTCATCCCGTGCTGCTGACGTCATCAAGGATATCAAATCGGTGGCTGCTGCTCCTTGTGTGTCATGCTGACGTCATCATGTCGCATGCATGCCGCAACCCAATCCGACGCCGTGCCCATCCACGCTGAAGTCGCCTTTGAGAATCATCAAAGGTTCATCTCTCAACGCCATTATTCACCACTTGCTTCTCATCTCACACGCAGTTCAAATGGTGTGTGACGGCAAGGAGCCATGCAGCTCTCGTCTCTCCAATCATGGCTCATCCGGCCCCACTCACCCTGTGTGTGTGTGCCACACACACGCAGGAATGGAATCAAAATAGATCTGGATGAAATCTATAGTGAAGCAAACTTGTCCGAACAGAGGTAGTTGGCCAAGATGACTCACTTGTGCGACACGGAGCCATGCAGACGTTGCGTCGTGTTCCCTGTGCCTCAACCGCCACTCTCAACCGCTCTTAACACCTGCAGGTGGTGTTTGACGAGGTGCACTATGTGAACGACATGGAGCGCGGGGTGGTGTGGGAGGAGGTGATCATCATGCTGCCGCCCCACGTGGGCCTCATCATGCTCTCTGCTACTGTCAGTTGACCTTGTGTGCACCATCCACCATGCATTATGCACCACGCACCATGCATTATGCATCACGCACCATGCACCACGCACCACGCACCACACACCACGCACCACACACCACACACCATCCGTTATGCACCACACATAATGCATTGTGCACCATGCACCATGCATAATGAACCATGCGCCATGCACCACGCACCATGCACCACGTGCCATGCACCACGCACTGCACACCATGCATCATGCACCACGCACTGCACACCATGCATCATGCACCACGCACTGCACACCATGCATCATGCACCACGCACTGCACACCATGCATCATGCACCACGCACTGCACACCATGCATCATGCACCATGCCGTCATGCTGTGCTCGTATGGGAGCAGGTTGTTAACATGACGATCTTCACCACATGCATGCATACATTTGGTGTATAATCATCATCCCTACTGCTTCGTCGCACTGGTGCGTGCGTCTCCCCTCCCGCCCCTTCCCCCCCTCCTGCCTCGCCTCCCTTCCCTCCCCGTGCATTCTCCTTGCTCCCCTTCCCTCGCCTCGCCTTGCCTGTTCCTCGCCTCTTCCCCTTGTCCACTCCCCCCTCCCACTGCCCGCTCCCACTCTCCTCTCCCACTGTCCTCTCCCAGGTGCCCAACACCACGGAGTTTGCGGATTGGATCGGCCGAACCAAGAGGAAGAAGATATTCGTTACAGGGTGGGTCGCATGGGGTGGCCGGGCATGAAATCGATGGCATGGGGTGGGTGGCATGATGTGGGTGGGCTTGTGTATGGTGGCATGGGTGGTGGCATGGGTGGTGGCATGATGTGGATGGCACTTGTTTTGTATCCTCTCCACCCCACCTCCCCACCCTCGCTCGCTCCCATGCCCGCGCCTTTCCAAATCCAGTAGTATCCTCTCCTCGTTCACGCCACACGCCAAATTGCTCTAGGCTCGCCTTCTCACTCTTTGTGTCCAACCTTTCATCTTCAGGACCCCTCTGTACGCCTTACCGACTCTTTGCATAACCCCTTCCCTCTTTCACCCTCCTCTCCTTCCACCTTACCCCCTTCCTCTTTCCTCTATCCCACCACCACGCATCGCCTATTACGAGGACCGCCTGCGCCACTATCTTTGCACTCATTTGCACCGCATGGCACCTTACTGACTCCCTTCCCCTCCGCTCGTTCCCCAGCACCACGCCGCGCCCGGTCCCCTTGGAGCACGACATCTCTATGGGGGGCCTCTGCACCGCATTTACCCACCCATTTACACCCATTTCAACCCCTTTCCTCTTCCCCACCCCAGCACCATGCGGCGTCCAGTACCTCTAGAGCACAACATCTACTACGGAGGCCGCCTGCATCGCATCTTTGACCGCGGAGACATTGACAGCACTGTGCTGCGCGCCGTGCATGCTTTTTGAGCCGCCGTGTTTTTTGAGAATTCTCAAAAAACACGCCGTGCATGCCTTTTGAGCCGCCTCAACCCCCCCTTCCCCCTCCCCTTCTTCCCAGCACCACGCGGCGGCCAGTCCCTTTAGAACACAACCTTTACTACAGCGGTCGGCTGCATCGCATCTTCGACCGCGGAGACATCGACAGTAATGCTCTGCGCGCCGTGCACGCCGCACACAAGGCCAAGCACGCCCCCCCCGCGCAGCAGGCCGGGGGTGCGGGAGCAGGGCGAGGGGGCGGAGGGAGAGGAGGAGGAGGAGGGGCAGGCGGGCAGGGGGGGCAGCAGGGGAGAGGCGGGCAGGCGGGGCGAGGGGGGAGAGGAGGGGGCGGGGGTGGGGGAAGAGGGGGAGGGGGAGGAGGGGGAGGGAGAGGGCGCGGGGCAGGGATGGCGGCGGCGGGGAGGGCGATAGCGGCGGCCATGGGGGGGGGAGGGGGAGGGGATCGGTACCGGCGGTCGATGGCAACGGAGTGGATGCAGTTCATCAACCTGCTCAGCAAACAGGAGCTGCTGCCTGTACGTGGCACTTCCTCCCCTCCCCTTCCCCTCCACTCCCCTCCCCTCCGCCACCTCCTCCTGCTGACTTCATTCATTTCACTTCGTATCTGCCCGTCCCCCGGATCCCCGCCATTCTCCCATGTCCTCTCATGTTCCATGCGCTCCCTCGTTACCCCAGCCATGTCATGTCATGACATGACAGGAGCTCCTGCTTTCCACACTCGCACTCGTGCCACCCATCCCACCCTGTGCACTGCCTTGGACCTGAGCCCATGGCCAGGTGGTGGTGTTCTGCTTCTCCAAGCGGTGCTGTGACGAGTCACTTCCATAGCGAGCAGGAGCTTTCTTCCACCCCTTCTCACCCCCTCCCACCACATCCCATCCCACCCCGTGCCATGCTCAGGTGGAGGTATTCTGCTTCTCCAAGCGGCGCTGTGACGAGTCAGCGCACAGCCTCACATCGATGGACCTCACGTCCAAGAGTGACAAGAGCGCCATCGTGCCAACGGACACGAACTCCCTCCCACCCCGTCCCACCCTGTTCCACCCCTCTCAATTCTTCTACCTGGTGCCATGGCCAGGTGGTGGTGTTCTGCTTTTCCAAGCGCCGCTGTGACGAGTCAGCGGACAGCCTCACATCGATGGACCTCACAAGCAAGAGTGACAAGAGTGCCATCGTCATGTTCTGTAACTCCGCCTTCGCTCGCCTTAAGGGCAGTGACAGGCATTTGCCACAGGTGCGGTTAGGTACAGGTGCACAGATGTCCGTTCATATGAGGCAGTGCATTTTTATGGCAGTTCGCATGCACGCCTGCACGCACTCACACCAACACCCACACCCAGTGCACCACCTAATGCCCACCTGCCACCCCACCTGCCACCCCACCTGCCACCCCACCTGCCACCCCACCTGCCACCCCACCTGCCATCCCACCTGCCACCCCACCTGCCACCCCACCTGCCACCCCACCTGCCACCCCACCTGCCACCCCACCTGCCACCCCACCTGCCACCCGACCTGCCACCCCATCTGACAGTTGGAGCGCATATCGGAGCTGCTGCAGAGGGGCATGGGGGTGCACCATGCAGGGCTGCTGCTTGGTCGATGTCACCCACCTACACCCCACGTGACACCTGGTAACCCCCACCACTTCCTGGCAGGTGGAGCGCATATCGGAGCTGCTACGGAGGGGCATCGGGGTGCACCATGCAGGGCTGCTGCCCATCGTGAAGGAGGTGGTTGAGATGCTCTTCTGCTCGGGACTCATTCGAGTATGTGCTCATACATACATACACTAGGTAGCACACATGCGTGTGGCGGTCAGTCGACAATGAACAGCATCAGTGCATGGCCTGGAGTAGTGGACAGCAGCAGCGGGCCGGGCAGTGACGGCCGCTGCCCATCGTGAAGGAGGTTGTGTAGATGCGATGCGATTCTGCTCGGGGCTTATCTGAGTAAGGCTCTAGCAGTGCACGCGTGCATGTGCACAGTGCACACATACACTAGGCTAGCACGCGTGATAGGCTGCAGCAGCAGGGTGCAGCCAGGTGCAGCGGGGTGCAGCAGGGTGCAGCAGGTGCAATCCATCGTGAAGGAGGTGGTTGAGATGCTCTTCTGCTCGGGGCTCATCCGGGTAAGGCTATGGGCACGGATGCATGCGTGTCCATGCATATGCATACATACACTAGCTAGCTAGCTAGCACACACACACGCACGCACGCACGCACGCACGCACGCACGCACACACACACACACACACACACACACACACACACACACACACACACACACACACACACACATTTTAGGCTGCAGCAGCACATTCTTCCCATCGTCAAGGAGATGGTTGGGATGCTCTTTTGCTCTGGGCTCATCCGTGTTAGCCTGTAGAGTCTGTTTGTCGATTGAGTTGGTCCAGAAGGGGTGCGTTTAAATCTCCAAACGAATACTTAACACCACAAAGGTTCGTGCTCCCTCAGCCATACGAATTCACCTCTCCATACAGCAACAGTACCATTCCATCTGTATTCTTCCTTCCCTCTCAGCTGCTCACTTTGAACCCTTATCCTGCAATGTGGCTCTAAAAACATGTGGCTCTCCTGCATTGTGTCATGCCCCTCTTTGCTCTGCCCTGCCCTTGCCTTCCTCTCATCTGTGTCATATCCACTTGTCTGCTTTGCTCTGTGTCGTGCCCAACCTCACGCACTGCCAGGTGCTCTTCTCCACCGAGACATTCGCCATGGGCGTCAACGCTCCTGCTCGCACTGTAAGTGCGGTGATGAGGGGTGACGAGAGGTGATGAAGGGTGATGAGAGGGGATGTGGTGAGGATATTGAGGATATGCTGCAAACGCCTGATAAAACTGGGTTCTGGATTGCACTTTCTAAGGAATTAGTGTACCGTCTGAAGGTTGATCGGTTTTCAATCTCCTACCCCAACTTATCCAAATTCAAAAGGTTCTACGAATATTTATCTTGAAATCCCTCTTACTACTTCCAGCGCTTCCTGATGGTTTGTAATGATAATGGCTGCGTGCTTTTTTTTATACATTTATCGATTTTGCTCGCCTTTACTAGAGTGGTGATTGATAATGATTTGACCGGCTGCAAAGCAGCAAACGTACAAGAATTTTCTTGCCTATGCTGGAAACAGGCTCAGACCATGGAGGACTGGCATTGCCCCGTTTCTGCCTTCTTCATTCCTCCTTTCCTCTTCCCTCACTTCTACCCTTACACCCTTGCTCGTGCTTGCCCTCTCTACACCCATCTTGTGCTCGTCCGATTCTCGACTAGCCTTCCTTCCGTGCTCTTAGGTAGTGCAATGGCTCTCACGCCCTTCTCCGTCTCTCATGCACTCATGCTCACCCGAGTCTCTCCCATCTCTACTTTCTCTCGCTCGCTCATCCCCGCTATCAGGTGGCCTTCCATGCTCTCAAGAAGCACGACGGTCGATCCTTCCGCATGCTGCTGCCGGGGGAATACACTCAGATGGCAGGCAGGGCGGGCAGGCGAGGGCTCGACAAGGTGAGGTAGAGTGATTAGGGCGAGGTGGGGTGGTTGGGAGATCAGGCTGCTGCAGTGGTGGTGAAACAAAGACACGTGACTGATAGGGTAAGAACATCTTAGTTGACGGTTGCTTTTCCGCATGCTGCTGCCGGGGAAACACACAGATGGTGGGCAGGGCAGGAGAGGAGGGGGGACAAGGTGAGGCGGGATTGTGGATTGGGTTTTTGTGCCACTGGTATGGAGTTTGACAAGGCGAGCATGTGGATTCGGGGGGGCACAGGCTCCCGAATGGAGAGTTGACAAGGCGAGCGCATGTGGATTGACCTCCTCTGCTTGCGTGCGCATCGCATACCGTTGCCGTGCCATGTGCTACATGATTGGTGGGGAGGAGGGGAGACGTCTCAGAACTGCTTGGTGATCGCCACAGGGTGGGGAGGAGAAGGAGAGGAGTGGACCAGGGAGGCAGGTGCTTGGACGAACCGGAGCGGGGCATAGGGTTGTGGGGGGAACATAACATCACACGCCAGTCTTTGTGTATGCTGCTGCTGTCACTAGCGGCAACGGCGGCGGAGGCGGAGACAGGGGCTTGACGAGTTGGGGCCAGCCCAAATATATCCACGGTCCACCCACGTGAATTCAATCCTCCACTCACCCTCACCCTCACCCTCCTCACCCTCCCCCTCCCTCCCGCTCACCCTCCCTTCCACTCACCCTCTCTTTCCCTCACCCTCTCTTCCATTCTCACCCTCACCCTCCTTGCACCCTCGTTTTCCTCACCGTCCCCTCCCCATCCCTGCCCCGTCAGTTTGGCACGGTGATCATCTGCTGCTGGGAGGGCGAGGAGGTGCCCAGCGAGGTGGACCCACGTGAATTTACAGCAGCTTTGTCATGTCTCCCCTCACCCTCACGCTCCCCACCCACGGTGATCATCAAGTAGGCCTGCCCATAGATATTTTTCTTCTTCTTCTTCTTCTTCTTCTTCTTCTGAATGTGCTGCACCCTCCCCATCCTTGCTGCCAGTTCGGAACGGTGATCATCTGCTGCTGGGAGGGCGAGGAGGTGCCAAGCGAGGTGGACCTGCGGCGCATGCTGACAGGCAAGGCCACCAAGCTGGAATCGCAGTTCCGCCTCTCCTACGCCATGATCCTCAACCTGCTCAGGGTGGAGGACCTCACTGTAAGGGAACCCGTGAGAGGAACAGGTGACCTGAACCCCCGTCATGCCTCTCCTACGCCATGATCCTCAACCTGCTCAGGGTGGAGGACCTCACTGATAGAATTCAAGAATAGTTGAGTAATGAGCCAAGGAGGCTCTATAGTACAAGCATGCAAGGAAGAGAGGTTGGAAGAAGGTGCAACCCTATTGGCCACTAAGTTGGCCAATGGGTGAGTTGCCTTGTGGAGTAGGGAACCCCACAATGTTGCTAGCTTGTGATTGGTTGGCCTTAGGACCAAATGTTGGCAAGTGCCAACCAAGGACCAAGACCAAACCAAATCTTGACCCAACCACAAAGTGTGGTTGGAGTGTACACCCAACCCCCCAATGGCTTAAAGAGCTACACCTATTCTAGCCTATGTATGTTGTATATATAAGATACATTTACAACACAACCCCCCAACATGCATAAGGCTAGAAAAAATGTAATCAGGAGGCCGCCAAAACTGGTGGCGGGGTGAGCCCAAGGAGACGCAACAGGAAGGAGTGGGACGCTTGGGGAAGAGCTTTGGTGAAGATGTCGGCGAGGTTGGCTGCCGAGTCGATTTTGCCAAGACGAATGTGGCCGGCCTCAACGAGATCGCGAATGAAGAAGTAGCGAAGCTCAATGTGTTTTGAGCGCCCATGATACACAGCGTCCTTGGTGAGGTGGATGGTGCTGGCGTTGTCACACCAGATGGTGGGACAGCGTTGGGGGGCTCCTAGCTCATCAAGGAGGAAGGTGAGCCAGCGTGCTTCTTGCGCGGCCATGGTCGCAGCGTAGAGCTCTGCTTCGCAGGAGGAGAGGGCGACGGCAGAGGAGCGTGTGGACCGCCAGCTGATGAGACCGCTGCCGAGGGAGAAGCCATAGCCCTGAGAGGACCGCCGATCCGGTCGAGAATCAGCCCAGGAAGAGTCGCTGTAGCCGTTGAGGAGTGGTGGGGAAGGGCCGCCAAGAGTGAGGACATAGTCCTTGGTGCCACGAATGTAGCGAAGGACACGCTTGGCGGCCTGCCAGTGCTCTTCCGTGTGCTTGCCAGCGCCAACGAACCGGGCGAGGACGCTGATGGGGTAGGCAAGGTCAGGGCGAGTGGAAACCATGGCGTACATGAGAGAGCCGATGAGTTCCGGATAAGGATGGGAGGAGGGAGAGGGAGAGGAGGGTGGGGAGAGGTGGTGCCCAACCGAGAGGGGAGTGGGCTGGGGGTTGCCGCGCGCCATGTCAAACCGGTCCAAGACCTGCTGGAGGTAGTGACCCTGAGAGAGTGAGATGGTGCGGGCGGAGCGGTCGCGAGTGATGGTCATGCCGAGGTAGTTCTGCAGCTCTCCCAGGTCTTTGCACTTGAGACGGCTGCCCAGCTCCGCCTTGACAGTCTCGAGCTCGGCAAGGTCGGCGGTGAGGAGGATCATGTCGTCAACATAGACGAGGATGTAGAAGGGGGAGGGAGAGGTGCGGAGGAAGATTCTGGCGTCAGAGCGGGAGGTGCGAAAGCCAAGCTCAGCAAGGGTGGCAGCAAGCTTGGCATGCCACTCCCTGGGTGCCTGACGGAGCCCGTACACGGGTCGGCGCAGCTGCCAGACGGAGTCGGCGGGGAAGGGGAGGTGGAAGCCGTCTGGGCGCTCCATGTAAATGAGTTCACGTAGTACGCCTTGCAGGAAGGCGTTGGAGACATCCATCGAGTGGATCTCCATGTTGAGGCGAGCGGCGAGGTCGAGTACAGCGCGAACGGTAGCAGGTTTGGCGGTGGGGGAGAAGGTGTCGAAGAAGTCAAAACCATACCGCTGCGTGAAGCCCTTGGCGCAATACCGGGCCTTGTAGACGGGCGGTTCTCCTGGTAGCTGTTTGACGCGAAACACCCACTTCCCCTTTACCACGTTCGTAGAGGAGGGAGGGCGAGGGACATCAACGAAGGAGGAGTTGGCGATAAATGCCTCGAGCTCCTTGATGATGGCGGCAAGCCAGAGCGGGGCGTCGGGGCAAGCCATGGCCTCCTCGTACGTGGTTGGGACGAAGATGGAGGGAGCAGAGGAAAAGGCGAAGACTGGTGTTCCAGACAGGTCAAAGGTGATGGGGAGGAGGGAGGGGTCGGAAAGGTGGAGGTCAAGGAACTCCTCATGGGAGTCCTCAGAGAGGGAGGTGTGGAAGGCGCGGATAACCGCTGGGGCCGCTGCTCGTGCCGCTGCTGGTGCCGCTGCTGGTGCCGCTGCTGGTGCCGCTGCTGGTGCCGCTGCTGGTGCTGCTGTGGAGGCCGCTGCTGCCGCTGCACTTGCCGCTGCTGGTGCCGCTGCTGCTGCTGCACCTGTTGCTGCTGGTGCCGCTGCAATGGCTGCTGCTGGAGGTGCTGCTACCGAGGATGGGGAGGTGGTCGAGGAGGCTGGTGCAGGAGAGGCGTGGTGTAAGACAGCCTGGAAGAAGTGGTGAAGGAGGGGAGAAAGAGGGGGAAGGGAAGAGGTAGAGAGGGTAACAGGGGGCGGTGCACCAAGGATACTGTCACATGACCTGGTGTGAGGATACCGGGTGAGTATGGTGCGGGGAGTGGGGGAGGGAGGTGGTTGGGAGGGAGGGGGAGGGGCACCGGGGGAGGAGTGGGCGGGGGAGACAGGGGAAGATAGAGGGTCCGGGTCAAAGATGTCACCAGACGAGGGAGGGGCACCGTGGGACTGGGAGGGCGGAGGGGGAGGGGGTGGGAGGATGGGGGGAGGAGGGAGGAGAGGGGGAGGTGTGGTGTCAGACCAGACAAGGGGACGGGTCAGAGGTGGGAGTGGGTCAGTGGACGGGGGAGAGGAATAGTACGGGGTGGACTCGTCAAAGACGACATCTCTGCTGCGAATTAGTCGACCGGAAGGGGGGTGGAGGAAAAGGTAGTCGGGGGAGGAGGGGTTATGACCAAGGAAGACGCAAGGAAGGGTACGAGGGGCAAGCTTTCCAAGGGAGCGGGATCGGTCAGACGGGTGAATGAGGACATAGGCCTTTGAGCCCCAGACTCGAAGAGGGGAGACATCGGGTTTGTCCTTTGTCCATAGCTCAGTGGGGGTGGTGGAGGGGAGGAGGGGGTGAGGGTAGAGGTTAGTAAGGAGGGCGGCATGAAGGAGGGCGTAGCCCCACAGAGAAGGGGGGCATGAGGCGTGGACAAGAAGACACCGAGCCGTTTTGGTGATCTCCCGAACACGGCTCTCAGCGACACCGTTCTGCTGTGGGGAGTGAGGGAGGGTGTAAGTCTGAAGAATGCCGCGGGACTGTCAGTAGGAGGAAATTTGGGTATTAAGGAACTCACCACCACCATCAGAGTGGAGGCGACGAACAGGGCGGCCAAAGTGGGTGTTGGCTTGCTCGAGCCAAGCAATGATCGCGGTCGGGGCATCCGCCTTCGTCCGAAGGAGAGAGACGGACGAGTACCGACTGTGGTCATCGACGAGCACGAGGAGGTAGCGATGGCCTTGGCGAGTGGGGTAGGGCCCCAGAGGTCCATGTGAACAAGATCAAGTGGCTGAGCAGCAGCGGAGGGGGAGCTCCGGTGCGGCTGCTGCTTGAGCTTGCTCTGAACACAGACGACGCAAGGGGGGCCAGGGGACTTTGGGAGGGGAGGGAGGGAAGAGGGGAGACCGTGGAGGAGACCGGAGGATACAGAGGAGCGCAGAGTGGCGAAGTTGGGGTGACCTAGCCTGTGATGGAGGAGGATGGCAGGGTGGGAGAGGGAGCGACATGAGCAGTCAGAGTCAGGGGGGCGGGGGGGGACGGGTGGGTTAGTGGAGGGGAGGGGAGGAGGGGGGGGGAAGAGGGGGGGGAGGCAACTTGGAAGGTGAGGGGGCGAGGAACTCGAAGGGTGTATAGACGGGTGCGGGGACAGTAAGGAATACGGGCGAGGAAACGACCTGTGGAGGTGTGGTAGAGATCACAATGGTTAGCACCACCTGGGGTGAGAGTGGTGATCATGGATTGTTGGAGGGACCTTTGGGAGAGGAGGTTGGTGCGAAGGGAGGGAATGTGAAGACCTGTGACAGTACCTGAGGGAAAGAGAGGACAGGGAAGGGTGGAGGTGTTGTGACAGGGGATGGAAAAGCTGCTATCAGCGCCAAGGAGGGACGTGGATGTGGGAAGAGGATTGAGTTTGCCGGCATCTCGAAAGACATTATCAGTGGCTCCACTGTCCAAGACGAACTCAAGGGTGGAGGAGGGTGAGGCGGAATACTGAATTGAGGTTTCATTAATAGCAGGGGCATACATAGGAGATGCAACAGAAGGAGGCTGACTAAGGAGACCAACAAAGCCAGAGGAGGGAAAGGGGGTCACACTGCCACCTGTGGACGGCGCAGGGGATGGACCGGAGAGGTGGGCCGCAGAGGCGGCATTTCCGGCGGTCCAGCTGGGAAACGGCTGCTGCTGGGGGACAGGAGGAGGAGGGAGGAGAGGAAGTTGGGGCTGGAGGTCGAGCTGCTGCTGGAGCTGCTGAAGCTGCTGCTGGAGCTGCTGGAGCTGCTGCCCATACTGCTGCGGTCCCTGCTGCTGGACACTCTGCTGCTGCTGCTGCTGCTGCTGCTGCTGCTGCTGCTGAGAGGGGAGAGCAAAGGCCTGGTGGGCCTGGGAGGAGGAGGAGGGGGCGTAGAGGGGAGAGGTGCGAACATCGAGGGGAGTGGGGCGGGGATTAAGGGCGGACCAGCGAGGAGGGGTGCCAGAGTTCCCACGAGCGAACCACTCATCGCTGAGTGCCTTGAAGCACGTGTCAGTTGCATGAGTGGTTTGGTTGCAGCGTTGGCCTCGGGTGGGGCCATAGAGGGGAAGATACTGACAGGGTGGGAAGGCCGCTGCTGCCCCACGACCCGCACCACCACGACCGCCAGAGCCGCCTCGACCACCACCACGCCCACCTCCACGCCCTCCCCCACGTCCGCCCTTGCCGCTGCGCTGCTGTGCTACCGCGGCAGTGGAGGAGGAGTGGCGAAGGATTTCAGCCTCAGTGGTGATAATCCACTGGGCAACTTGAGCGGGAGTGTCATGCTTGGAGAGGAGTTGCATGTATGCGAGCTTGTGGGCATCGAAGGCGGGAGTGAGGCCTTCGAGGAGGTGGCAGCAGATGACAGTGTCAGGGTAGGTAACGCCAAGTGCTGCAAGGCGGCGAGCAAGATCAAGGACGCGGCGAGTAAAGGCGGCTGCGCCGGCAGTGGAATCCATGGTGATGGATCCAAATTCCTTGATGAGGGCATAGAGGGTGGCGATGTCCTGCCGGTCAAAGAGGTCGACAAGCAGTTGCCACAGGTGGGAGGAGGAGGTAGGTGAAAGCTCTCGTTTGAGGGAGGAGGGGATAGTGGCGAGGAGGATGGCGAGAGCTCGACGGTCAGCAATGCGCCACGCAGCGATGTCGGTGGTGTAGCTGGCGAGACGTGTAGTGTACGTGGCGAGTCGAGCTTGGTAATCGCGGTGGCGGGCAGCAGCCTCGTCGTAGGCGCGCTTGTCGTCCTCATAGCGCAGTTGACGGCGAAGGTGGTCGTTGAGTGCGGTGCGGTAGGTACGGATGGCAGTTTCCATGCTCTGAGGATTGTTGACATCCGGCGCGAAGGTGGGAGGATCACCAGGAGGCTCGGGCTCAGGTCCGGGCTCGTCAGGAGGAGGTCCGGTGGGGGCGGAAGGGGCGATGGGCTGGAGTCCGCCTTCCTCCTGGAACACGACGGAACGGAGGGTATATCCGCTGACGACAACCGAGGAGAGCAACACCTCGACGGAGTGGGCATAAGAGTGCCAGTTGGCGGCCGAGTTGTCGCCCAACAACTCGAGAGAGTCAATGGTCGCCAGGTCGACCGATGAGTCTGCGGACGCCATGATGGCGAAGTCGGGAAGGTGCTGCTGCTAGTGCCGTTGAAGGTGCCGCTGCTGGTGCCGTTGAAGGTGCCGCTGCTGGTGCCGTTGAAGGTGCCGCCACTGGTGCCGTTGAAGGTGCCGCTGCTGGTGCCGTTGAAGGTGCCGCTGCTGGTGCCGTTGAAGGTGCCGCTGCTGGTGCCGTTGAAGGTGCCGCTGCTGGTGCCGTTGAAGGTGCCGCTGCTGGTGCCGTTGAAGGTGCCGCTGCTGGTGCCGTAACAGGGTGGCGCTGCTGGTTTAGGGTTCAAGGTGCCGCTGCTAGGTGCTGTTGCTGGTGCGATTAAGGGTGAAGTAGGGGGGGGGAGGAGGTAGGGGAGAGGGAGGATGGCGCGGAAGTGTGGGGCAGGGCGCGGATGAAAGGGGGGAGGTCGCGCAGGTCAGTCGCGGCGGCGCGTCGGCCGCCCGTGAGAGCGCGAGGGTCGGCCGCGGCTCTGCGTCGGCCGTCCGCGTCAGTGCGAGGGTCGGCCGCGGTTCTGCGTCGGCCGTCCGCGTCAGCGCGAGGGTCGGCCGCGGCTCCGCGTCGGTCGTCCGCGTCGGCGCGGAGGTCGTCGGCGATCGCGCGGCGGCCGTTCGGGATGGCGCACAGGTCGGCCGCGACTCCGCGCTGGCCGTCCGCGTCGACGCGCGGGGTGCTCGTGGCCGCGCGCTGGCCGTCCGCGACGGTTGGCTGGCCGTCCGCGACGGCTTGCGGGCCGTCCGCGACGGCTTGCTGGCCGTCCGCGACGGCTTTCTGGCCGTCCGCGACGGCTTTCTGGCCGTCCGCGACGGCTTTCTGGCCGTCCGCGACGGCTTGCTGGCCGTCCGCGACGGTGTGCTGGCCGTCCGCGACGGAAGGCGTGAGGGAGGGGTGGCGGCGGGAGGGAGGATTGAGGCCGCGGGAGAGCGGTCGGAGGCCGCGAGAGGGAGGATTAAGGCCGCGGGAGGGAGGATTGTGGCCGCGGGAGGGAGGATTGAGACCGCGGAGGAGTAGATCTGAGCCGCGGAAAGCTAGATCTGAGGTACGGGAGGGAGGATTGAGGCCGCGGGAGGCTAGATCTAAGACGCGGAGAGGAAATTACGGCCTAAGGATCGAGGGAGGTGGCGTGAGCCATTTGGCTCTGAATACCATGATAGAATTCAAGAATGGTTGAGTAATGAGCCAAGGAGGCTCTATAGTACAAGCATGCAAGGAAGAGAGGTTGGAAGAAGGTGCAACCCTATTGGCCACTAAGTTGGCCAATGGGTGAGTTGCCTTGTGGAGTAGGGAACCCCACAATGTTGCTAGCTTGTGATTGGTTGGCCTTAGGACCAAATGTTGGCAAGTGCCAACCAAGGACCAAGACCAAACCAAATCTTGACCCAACCACAAAGTGTGGTTGGAGTGTACACCCAACCCCCCAATGGCTTAAAGAGCTACACCTATTCTAGCCTATGTATGTTGTATATATAAGATACATTTACAACACTCACTGTAAGGGAACCCGTGAGAGGAACAGGTGACCTGAACCCCCGTCATGCCTCTCCTACGCCATGATCCTCAACCTGCTCAGGGTGGAGGACCTCAATGTAAGGGAACCCGGACCTCACTGTGAGTTGCCGCCCCCCCATGTGCCTCATTGCACAATGAGTGAGCAGTTGACCTCACCGCCTCCTCATGCCCAAGCTGGAGTCGCAGTTCCGCCTCTCCTACGCCATGATCCTCAACCTGCTGCGGGTGGAGGACTTGACAGTGAGTGACCACCTCCTGATGTGCCTCATTGTACACAGGGTAACTGCACACCCATGCCTCTCTCCTACGCCATGATCCTCAACCTGCTGCGCGTTGAAGACTTGACAGTGAGTGGGTTCCAGCAGCATGCGTGTGAAAAGGTTACAAGTGCCGTCGCCTTGTGCTTCTCTCCTACACCATGATTCTCAACCTGCTAAGGGTGGAGGACTTGACAGTGAGTGGCCGGCCCCCCAGTGCCTCACTGTACCCAGTGAACAGGTGGTGACCTGACCGCCCCCTCATGCCAAGCTGGAGTTACAGTTCCGCCTCTCCTACGCCATGATTCTCAACCTGCTACGGGTGGAAGACTTGACTGTGAGTAAACAGGGAACAGGTGCCCCTCCCCCTTCTTGTGCCTCCCCTACGCCCCCCTTCTTCTCGATCTTCAACCTGCTACGGGCCGAGGACCTCGCTGTGAGTGACCGCTCCACCATGTAGCTTATTGTAAGCAGTGAACGGCTGACACGACACCCCCCACCCCCCCTTCCTCCTTTCCTCTCCTACGCCATGGTCCTCAACCTGCTAAGGGTCGAGGACCTCACTGTGAGTGGGACAAGCAGAACGCCCCCCACCGTATACAGTGAACGGCTCCTCATGCCTCTCCTACGCCATGATTCTCAACCTGCTAAGGACGGAGCGCCTCACTGTAAGGGAACCCCATGCTAGCAGCACGAGTGTCAATAGTGAACAGGATACGGGTGAACCCCCCCCCCCCCCCTCTCATTCCTTTCAGCTGCTTGAAGCGCTTCAGAGTTGAGTAATGAGGGGGGATCTAATCTCTCACTCCATCATCACATCGCATCACCCTCCCCTCAGGTGGAGGACATGCTGAAGCGCAGCTTTGCCGAGGCACACGCGCAGCGCCTGCTACCGCAGCAGCAGAAGATGCTGCAGGCGGGAGAGCAGGCACTTGTCCAGCTCGCCAACACACAGCCCATCAGGTGCGTGCCTGCCCGGTGCCTCTGTGACTCTGTGCTCCATGCCCTGTGCCTCTTTTGCGACATCTCAAAAGATGCTGCATTCGGGAGAACAGGCGCTCGTGCAGCTCGCCCCAACACACAGCCCATCAGGTGCGTGCCTGCCCCATGCCCTGTGCCCTGTGCCCCATGCCCCATGCCCCATGCCCCATGCCCCATGCCCTGTGCCCCATGCCCCATGCCCCATGCCCTGCGCCCCATGCCCCATGCCCTGTGCCCTGTGCCCTGTGCCCTGTGCCCTGTGCCCTGTGCCCATGCCTTGGTGTGGCATGAGAGGGTCTCAGCATTTTCTGCTCCCCTTTACCTCCCCTCATTTCCCTCCTCTCTTCCCTCCTCTCGTCTTCCTCCTCCCATTTTCCTCCCTTCATTTCCCACCTCCCATTTGCCTCCCCCCATTCTCCTCCTCATACACACGCCTTCTATTACCTATGTCTGGGCAATCTCTCTCTCGCTCATATGAAACTGTTTTTTTTTTTTTTTTTAAAAAAAAAAGGCAATCTCTCCTTCATACGACACTACCATGACGTGGCATAAGCGGGTCTCAAACATCCCTGATCCTTGTTTCCTTCTCCTCGGTTGCCCTCCTCTCACACCCCCCTCCCCACAGCTGCATACTGGGCGACCCGTCCCTCATAGAGCACTACTATGACGTGGCAAGTGAGGCGCGTGAGCTGGATGCCGCCCTGCATGACGTGGTCATGCGGTCGCGACAGGCCTCTCAGCTGCTGACACCTGGCAGGGTCGTATTGGTACAGGCGGCTGAGGTGAGTGCATGGCTGCACTGTGTGTGTGAGTGTGAGAAGAGGGCGTGCGGGTGAGGAAGGACGGGGAGGGGAGTGGGTGGCCTGGGAGGATGCAAGAGCATGAAGATGGGGATGAGGGAGAGAAGGGGTCGGGTGAAGCAGCAGCATTTGCGGCATTATGGTTTGTGAAAAAACAAAAACACATGCACATGCACTCTCACAACGATGCACGTATTGACATTGTTGTTCATGTGTTTACAACAAGTGTCCATGTGCATCATTATCTGCCCCTCCCTCTCTTCAATCCCCCACTTTCCTCTCCTTATCACCTCCCCCTCTTCCCTCCCCCACTCCCCTCGCCTTCTCACCTCCCCCACTTCCCTCACCTCTTTCGTCCCTCCCTCTTCCCTTCCCCTCTTCCCTCCCTCTTCTCTCCCTCTCCCCTTCCTGCTCCCTTCCCCTCCCCTCCCCTCCCCTCTCCTCCTCTCCCCTTTCGATGACCCAGACTGCATCTCCCCACGTGGAGGCGCTGCTCAAGGGCCCCTTCGGCCCCACGCCAGAGAAGCACATGGTTGGGCTGTTGACATTCATTTCCCCCTCTCTGCTTCCCTCTTCCCCCTCCCCTCTCCCATCCCCGCCTCTTCCCCCCTCCTCCCCGCCCTCGCTTCCGCGCCCCAGACTGCATCTCCCCAACGTGGCAGCGCTGCTCAAGGGCCCCTTCGGCCCCACGCCAGAGAAGCACATGGTTGGGCTGTTGACATTCATTTCCCCCTCTCTGCTTCCCTCTTCCCCCTCCCCTCTCCCATCCCCGCCTCTTCCCCCCCTCCTCCCCGCCCTCGCTTCCGCGCCCCAGACTGCATCTCCCCAACGTGGCAGCGCTGCTCAAGGGCCCCTTCGGCCCCACGCCAGAGAAGCACATGGTTGGGCTGTTGACATTCATTTCCCCCTCTCTGCTTCCCTCTTCCCCCTCCCCTCTCCCATCCCCGCCTCTTCCCCCCCTCCTCCCCGCCCTCGCTTCCGCGCCCCAGACTGCATCTCCCCAACGTGGCAGCGCTGCTCAAGGGCCCCTTCGGCCCCACGCCAGTGAAGCACATGGTTGGGCTGTTGACATTCATTTCCCCCTCTCTGCTTCCCTCTTCCCCCTCCCCTCTCCCATCCCCGCCTCTTCCCCCCCTCCTCCCCGCCCTCGCTTCCGCGCCCCAGACTGCATCTCCCCAACGTGGCAGCGCTGCTCAAGGGCCCCTTCGGCCCCACGCCAGAGAAGCACATGGTTGGGCTGTTGACATTCATTTCCCCCTCTCTGCTTCCCTCTTCCCCCTCCCCTCTCCCATCCCCGCCTCTTCCCCCCTCCTCCCCGCCCTCGCTTCCGCGCCCCAGACTGCATCTCCCCAACGTGGCAGCGCTGCTCAAGGGCCCCTTCGGCCCCACGCCAGAGAAGCACACGGTTGGGTTGTAAAAACTCAATTTTCCTTCTCCACTCCCCCTGCTCCCTCCCTGCCCTTTTTTCCCCCGCGCCCAGACTGCTTCTCCCCACGTGGCAGCGCTGCTCAAGGGCCCCTTCGGCCCCACGCCACAGAAGCACTCCTTCCTCGTGCTCTCCCTGCCTCGCTCCCACCCCTCCGCCACTAATGCGGGCGGTGAGAGACAAGGAGAGGGCATTGCGAATGGAGAGGAGAGGCGCGAGGAGGAAGGGAGGGAGGAGGAGACGCGGGTGGGGCGATCATTCAACCAGGTGACAGTCCTTGGCTCAGGTCCCAACGGGCCGATAGTGGTCAACATGCGGTTACCGCATCGCGGCACTGTAGCGGGCACGTGTTACACGGTGGAGCAGATCCCTGCCGCCCAGCTCGTGGGGGTGTGCCGAGCCAAGGTTGCCCTGGATGTGCCGAGCCTGCTGGAGGAGGTTCGGGTGCCGGCGTATGCTGCAGCTGTGCAGGCGCTGGTTCAGGTTCGGGAGGAGTGTGCTCCTGCCGAACCTCCCCTCATCGACCCCATCAAAGGTTCTCCATCCTCTCCCCATGCTCTCGTAGTCTCCTCTCTATTGGTTAGCCCAATTGTCCATACATACAGGTTTCTTGATCGAGTTGTTCCATATCAAAATAGTATTGCTTTTGACAAAACTCTACTCTGCTGTGGGCCTGCTGCCCTTATGGACCGTGTTTTGAGTTGACCCAAAACTCTACTCTGCTGTGCGCCTGCTGCTCTTATGGATCCTATCCCAAGTTTGCTGATTTGGCCTGTCTTCCTTGCCACGTCAGACCTCAAGATCGCTGACTCAGCAACGGCAGCCATGCACAAGCGACAGCTGGCGCTGCGGGAGCTGCTGCCGCGCAGCCCGTGCCACGCGTGCCACCGATTGGACGAGCACTACGCTGCTGTCGCCTCCCGCCGCCAGCTGTCGCAACAGGTATGGCCTGAATCCTGATTGTGCCTGCAAGCTGTTCTACCAAATCAAGTCTGTTTGTACGAGCTGTCAGTCACCGCAGATGAAGCCATTCTGCCGTCTGTCATAGCACATAGAGTTGTCTTATGCCCACGCGTGGTGCAATGCAAATGGAGTATCTTTCTCCCTGGTACAGCGTGGCCGCTACAGGCAATAAGGAGCAGCCAGCCTCTGCAGCAACTGCTTCTGGCCTTTACCTCCTCCCACCTCTCCTCTTCGCTTCTGTTTTCCTCCTCTTCTCTCCTGCTTTCCTCCGCGTCTCTCCTCCCCCCAACTGCAGGTGGAGCAGCTCAAGGCAATGACGAGCGACCAGGCACTGCAACAGCTACCCCTGCCCGTCACCTCCTCTGTTCATTCCTCTTTTCGTCTTCTCATTCCTCTCCTCTCCTCTCCTCTCCTCTCCTCTCCTCTCCTCTCCTCTCCTCTCCTCTCCTCTCCTCTCCTCTCCTCTCCTCTCCTCTCCTCTCCTCTCCTCTCCTCTCCTCTCCTCCTTGTCTCACCTCCCCCAAACCACAGGTAGAGCAGCTCAAGGCGATGACGAGCGACCAGGCACTGCAGCAGCTGCCAGACTTCCACCTGCGGGTGAGTGCCGCGGGTGCGGTGCGAAGCATGCGAGAGAGGGGAGGGCGTGTGAGTGCAGTGGTGGAAGTGCGGGGTGGGAGAGTGAGTGCAGTGTGTGCTCTGAGTTGCAATCTGAGATCTGATTCCATCTAACCCCAACATAAAGTCTTGGAATATAGTTATACTCACCAACACCTCTGCCACACAGAGTGCCCCGTAGCGCCTGTATCACTCCCGAGAATTCTCAACAGCACAATACAAATTTTAAGTGGCATACGAGATGAACAGTGCACGCAACGATGCCTTGCCTCTCACCTGAAACCTCTCTTTCCCTCCACCTTAATTCGAACCCTGAACCCCGAGACCCTCGAAATTCTGATTCCAGGTGGAGGTGCTGCAAACTCTCGCATTCATAGACTCAGATCGCATAGTGCAGCTCAAGGGGCGGGTGGCGTGTGAGATGAACAGCGCTGACGAGCTACTCGCCACCGAGTGCCTGCTCAACCATCACCTCGCCGCCCTCTCACCGCCCGCTGCCGTCGCGCTGCTCTCGGCGTTTGTCTTCCAGCAAAAGGACGCGTCGCCGCCCCAGCTTACTGCCGAGCTGGCGCATGCGAGGAACAAGTGAGAAAGGGAAGGGGTTGGGGGAGGGGAGGGAATGGGAGGGGCTGCGTGTGCTGCGCTGCTCTCGGCGTTTCTCTTCCGGTAGGAGGAACGCGTTGCTGTCCCAGCTCACTACGGAGCTGGCTCATGCAAGGAACAAGTGAGAGCCACGTTGCGGGAGGGAAGGATAGGATGAGAGAGAGGGAGGGAGTACGCATCATGCTCTGCTCTCACAGCCCCAGCTCACTGCCGAGCTGGCCAATGTGAGGAACAAGTGAGGGAGGGGTGGGAGAGTGTGGAGGGTTGGGGATTGGGTGGGGCGAGGAAAGGGAGTGCAGATAGTGTGTGTTTACAAGTGCTCCCTTCACTCGACTTGCAGCATCTCTGCTGTGGCCAACTCTTTGCAGATCTTGTACAAGTGAGGCTGGATCAGGAGGAGAGAGGGTATGTTTTCTGATTTAGTGAGCTATGTTATGCGAGGAATAAGTGAGGAGGATGGGGGATTGGCTGGTATGAGGAGGGGAGAGTGGGTGTGTTTGTATCTCAGTGTTGAAGCGTCACAACTGCCCAAAATACGATACAGGGAGCTGCATACATATTTCCTCTCGAAAATAAACTAGTATAAACGAAACTGCATAAGCATCTGAATCCCAATCTCTTGCGGACTTGTGCTCTTGTTGTACCTCCTGGCTATGCACGCCACACCACAATCTGTGTGCTTCTCCCTACCTGCCTCATACCTTTCCCTGCAGGCTGCTGGACCTGGCATATTTCCTGGGCGACCTGCAGAGGCGAGTGGGGCTGCCCACATCAGCGGAGGAGTACGCAGCAGCCACGCTCAACTTTGGGCTCATGGAGGTGGTCTACGAGTGGGCTCTGGTGTGTCTCCTGCTCTCCCCTCTCTAGTTTGATCTCCTTATTACCTGTGGTTTTCGGCTTTGTAGGGCCATTCCTCTTCTTTCGCTCAAGGTTTTCCCCTTCTTCTGCCAGATTCTTTCTTCGCCGCTCGTCCTTTGCAACATTTTCCCCTTGACCAATGTGCCAGATAGCACCTTAGATGTAGCCACGTGGTCTAGCGAGGTGCATAATCAGTCACACTACCTCCACTGCCTGTCTCCCAGGGCACGCTCTTGGCTGCCGTCCAAGGGCATCAACCTGGGCTCATAATATGCTTATCTCCCTTGCTTCACTCTCACATCTGCGTTCTCCAGGGCACTCCCTTTGCTGACATCTGTCCGCTGACCAATGTGGCCGAGGGAACCATCGTTCGCACCATTCTTCGGCTCGATGAGACATGTCGTGAGTTCCGCAGTGCCGCTAGGCTGCTGGGGAATGCGGAGCTTATGGCGACCATGGAGGCGGGGTCTGCTGCCATCAAGAGAGACATTGTATTTGCTGCCTCACTTTATGTCTCATGAGCTGATGAATGTTCATATACTACCTCTGGTGAAGGCTAGTGGTAGCACCGTACTGGTACCCACGCGAGATGGAAGTAACAGCTCACCTAGAATGGAGGAAAAACCTTCAGTACCAAATATATTCACGCAGTACATACATTACACCTATCTCTGCAGTTCGATCCAATTATCATTCCAGCTTCATGTTGAGGACTGAACTCGCTTCTTTCCTTTTCTTTTCCATCGTTTCCGTTCCTGCAACCACTCAGTAATCGCAGGTCAGCCATACTGTTGCGATGTAGCTCCCAGCACTCTATCTGTACACAAAAAAAGGGTTGCGGTTGGATCGATCGAGAAATGCCCAGCACTTACCACAGCCAAGAAGTAAATGAATGTCACAACAAACATGACAATGAATATATACTGGAACAAGTTAAACCTGCAAAGATTTCAGAAGTAGCACATGGTCAACCCTTCAGCACATGTATGAAGAAAAGCTCTCATCTCACGAGCCTCAAAAACAGAAGAGATGAATTCACGTACACGTATAAGTAGCGTATGCCTTGAAGATTCTCTAGGGTATGACCAAATATCTCCTGCACTGCTGTTTCTTGTGCATATGCAGCAAAGGCTTTTGCACAAAATTGTATTGCACTGCAGCAGGATTAAGCGTCAGTTGAGAAACGGCATATGGAACCAAGCGGCTGAACGTCTTACCTCGTTGCGCAACAAAGTATGAGGGCCACGTTAAATAAGAATGAACTCATGAGGGTAGCATTCCACCTGAAAATTGACACACATAAGTCTCCAGTTATAGAACGAACATACTAGACATCGAACATGTCATACCTCATAGGATGAATTGAAAGGATCAGAATGTTGAGACCAAGGTACATCTCCCCCGATATAACAGCCAGGAAGAGGTAAAAGCAAAAAATCGAAAATGCTCCTGTTCCAAGCAGGCCTGCAGGCAGAAGGATATCACATTGAGTGTGTTACGATGATAACGCCAGAATACCACGGGCACTCACCCCACCACCGGTCGAGGGTTATGAAAAAATCGTTCAGGAAAGCCGCTGCAGGCGGCTGTATGAGCATATATAAGATAATATGCACGATCCAAGCAACAGAAATGGCAAGCCTGCAGGGCGAATGAAACGATTAGAATACAAGACGAGAGTCAACACTGTAATCAGCTCAATGAACTTACCCAATGACTCCAAACATCAGTTTCCCAACGTAAAGAAGTACTGTCATGGCCCAGAACATCTCAGCTTCCTCTCCTTGGGGAAATCTTTCTCGAAGCTCAGCTTCATCCTCTTCCAAATGAAACAGCGCCTGTTTCAGAAACACCATCACTTCAAGAGCTTGAGAATTTCTGGAAATCCATTCTTACCTGCTGCAACTTCTTTGCATTTCGCCTCCATGCCCAAGTTTTACCGCCACTTCTTTCCTCCTGCTGAAGAGTAACAGCAAGTTCATGTATCTCCTTGGCCTTCTTCCCAATTGCTGTGGCTTCCTGCATCCGCGTTCTGTCACGTTAGGAGAACCAGGAGCATGAATAAACCCCTTAAATTTGCAACTGCCGGTACCTTAATGTATTCCGAACGGGTGATTGTGGCTCTTGGACGCCTTAGAAAGGAAAGAATAGATGAAAGTGGCAAGACTGCTATGCCAACACCACCAAAAATCTGTATTAACACAGATGTCAGTCGATTTGAGCATCTGATGGAGAGGGAGCAGCATCCTACAATACTCACTGAGAATAAGAGAGACCCCAGTATCGTGAATAAAGCAATAATGTACTTCGGAAACGAGACCCTCAGTGTCCATGTAGTCTTGGATCCTTGAGGGGAAGCATAAGAAGAACACTGATTTCACAGAAACAACAAATTAGGTCTATCCCAAGAAAAGGAGGGACCTTAAGGTGACGATTTCTCACTCACCGCGCCCAGACCGGTATTATACAAGGAAACACAGGAAGCTTGACTACCAAGCGAACTAAAGTCGTTCGTCATGGGAATAGTCGCAGAGACCAGCCTCTTTACAGGATACTCCACGTAACCAACGAAACCTGAAACGGAATTGTCATAGGACCCTGTCCGACTTAACAAAGTAAATAAAAAGCGTATTCATTGTCCTGCTTACCATAAAGAATCCCAAAGAGCCCCCCGAACACAAACACGGACAGGAGACACCACAAAATCGCGAGCAATACCCGCTTTCCGGTACCCCTGCATCACGATGAGAGTTCAGTCAGCGATTGTGAGCCTAAACATAGTGAAAGATTCAAGGCCTCTACACTTACTTTTCTTCATCGCCCTCGTATAAGAAAATGGAGAAAGGGATGATGACGAAGACCATGACGCATATTGCAATCCAAAGGATGTACCATAGAGTTCTCATGGGCAAAGTCTCGGAGCACTCTCCGCTCACGAAACCATTAATGCAGCTTTGCCTGTTGGAAACGTCTGCAGGAAGCATGAGAACTGAAAGCTGCGCAAGCGTAAGACCAATGACCTGCGCAAGGCAAACCATGTCGTCCTATTGAGTATGAACATCAGAGATTCCCCGAAGCAGCTGTACGAAATACGGAGGGACGTTGTGGTTGGGATGTTACTAAAAAAAGTTCGCCTACCACGACAAGTTTTGGGAAGTACGCTTGGTTTGAGTCATCCGGATGTTGGTAACTAATGAGGAGATAAATACTGACGGCGATGGAAAGCAATGATACAACAATTGCTATAACAAGCAGCGCAATGTTAATGTCCCCCATGGCTTGGAAAACAAGAAAGAATCTGCAAATTCGTTGACAGTTACTTCCACAGCGTCTCCTCTCATATGCTGCAGTATAGAAAGCGTGATGGAAGGCATGCCATTGGGGTGGAGATCGTAGGCGAGTGAGAGAAGCAGCGTTTCAGTGGATGAATGAGTACGATAGGGCGATTCGTTCGTCCTCGCTGTAAAACAGATTTTCGTTACGAAATAATAACTTCCTAGCCCCAACAAGCCCTGGCCAAATTCTCTCACTACATTCGTAAACATATAAGAGAACTTAAAACAAAGGGTATGTGGCTCTGCGATAGTGAAATGGTAACGGGATGGAAATGGGCGTGGTGTAGAGTGTTGTACGCGCTATGCAGGGTGACGACGAGAAGTGGCGTTATCCCGCTACTATCTGAGAATATTTCCCCGTCAAGCCCGTCGCCGCCGTGTATGTCAAAACATTTTCCCGCGTGAATTCAGTCACACGTTTCGCCTTCATTCCCGCTTTCGCGTCTCAGCTCGCTGGAGACGCCATCCTTTCGCAAATCGCAAAAGAAGCGGAACCCAGGTGGATGGGGGACCTCCGGTGACCAGGAGGAAGTTGGAGTCGCGTCGCATGTTGATGATCGAGGCGTGATCGATCGTAAAGCGACGGCACCTTGCTCAGATTGATGCCTAGGCTGAGCTTGAGATCTCTTCGCCATTGCTTATTTACCTCACAGCATCTACGCTGCTTAGAGACTAGGCATTCCCAAGCTCCTTCGAATTCGCCGCTAATCCTCTCCGCAGCCAACCGAACTTATTCCCCGCCGATTCTCACTCTACGCACTCGAACTCATCGTTCCACCCGACCATCCGCTCCTCGTCTCCTCCCATCGCCCTACCGCTCTTCTCCGCCACCTCCCACGCTTTCCGCACAGCCACGATGGCCGCGACTCGTCTGCTCCCCTTTCTCCTCCTGCTTCTCGTCTCCCACGCCGTCCTCTCGTCAGCCGCACCTCCTGCTTTTCGTCGGCCAAAAAAAATCGCTCTGACTGTTCAAGCCCACGCGAAGCGCCATCGAGGCGTCGTAACCCCCGCCGCGACCGGCGGGCCCATTAAGTACTTTGGAGGTCCTATCGTCGCAGGCAACCCGACGGTGAACATCTACCATACCTACTACGGCAGCTGGCCGTCCGGATCCGGGCAGGATTACATCGACAACTTCGTCAAGTCTTTAAGTAGCGACTCGGGCGCGCAGGGCTCGTCGAGCGACCCGACGGTGAAGGGGTGGTGGGCGATAACGTCGAATTACTACTCTCAGTCGAGGAACGGCGCGAAGAAGAACGTGAGCTCCATGGTGCAGCTCGCGGGGACGACGTACGACAGCTACTCGTACGGCAAGGAGCTTTCCGACAACAACGTGCTCTCCAGTAAACCCTTTCTCCCTGACCTTGCTTCTGAGCCGCCTCAGGAAATCGTGCTAGAAGGGGTTCGTTGTTTGATGCCTGCCACTTAGTGCTTCACAGGGAGGTGAAGGGGGTAGGGGGGCATTCCATTGGCGTTTGCACAAGTTCTTACTCTCTGGATGCCGTCTTCCCCGAATTTATTGTAGCCTTTTCAACGCTGTTATGCCGTCGTCTCGCTTCCTACTGTGTGCTTTCACCATTTCATGAGCGTGTTAAGCTTCGACTAAACGTTGTTTTAAATGCAAATCCTGACGTTTCCATCGCAGTCGTGAAAAGCAAGATCGAATCTGGCAAGGCCTTCGCGTACGACCCGCACGGGATTTACGTTCTTATATCGAGCAAGGACGTGACTGAATCGTCGGGCTTCTGCAGCCATTACTGCGGATGGCACACGGTCGACTATATCAATTCATCCCCATTGTACGTGGCGTTCGTGGGTCACCACGCCCAGTGCCCCAACGCGTGCGGCGTAAGGAGCCCCTCCCCCAATGGCAACCCCGCTATAGACGCCACCATTTCAACCCTCGCGCACGAAATTACCGAAGCTGCTACGGACCCCGACTCGATCTCTGGCTGGTTCGACTCGAACGGGGAGGAGAACGGGGATCTGTGCTCCTGGAGCTACGGAACTACACTCAGCTCAAACGGTTACAGTTACAACATGGTTGGGCTAAACGGAATGAGGCTTCTGGTGCAGCAGAACTGGGACAGGCAGCTGCAGAAGTGTGTCAACCAGAATTCCCTTCCGGCCAGCACCACCACACCTTCCCCTCCCCCTCCAACGCTCTCACCGTCACCGCCGCCACCTCCAGGAACTACGAAGATGAACTGCCAGTGCACGTGTGCCAGTGGCAGCTCTCCCATGAACTGCCAGTGCTCGTGCACGCCCGTTGCATGAAGGGCAGACGGCTACATACGGTAAGGTCTTTATGGGTGCATTCCTGGTGCATGCCACGGATCCTCGTGTCAAAAAGACGCGATACATTGTGGTGCAAATAATCCATTGGTGGGTGCAATGCGTTGCAGAACGGTACACTGTTTTTTGTTACGCGAGGAACTGGGGGGTTTATCAGTGTGTGACTGTAGATTTGTAGGGGTGGAGTTAGTGGAAGAAGTTTGGGTGGTATTTATAGCTTCCAGCAGCAACAATCTCTTTTTGGTAGTTGATGTTGGACGCCTCAGAAAGACAAGAATTGATGAAAGGGGCAATACGGCTGTGCCAACACCACCAGAAAACTGTAGTAACGCATGCGTCAGTTGCATAAGATGGAGAGGGAGCAGCAGGTTGCAGACCTCAATACTTACAGAGAATAAGTGAGACCTCAGTGTCGTGAATAATGCAATAACATATTTCGGAAACGAGACCCTCAGTGTCCAAGTGGTCTTGGATCCTTGAGGGGAAGAATACCGTAAGAAGAACACTGGTCTCACAGAGATAACAAATTAGGTGTAACCCAACAAAAGGAGGGCCCATGAGGTGACAATATCACTCACCACGCTCAGTTGAGCGGTGCTAACTTGCCATGAGAGGCGACGAGGGATGTTAACTTGCCCAACTTGCCTTACCAAACCTTGCACTACATATATTCTTTTTTATTTGTATTTTATTTTCTTTCCATCGCATTATATAAGATGGTGCCAGGCCCTCAGATTCGTTTTTAGCCTGTCTGATTCGTCAGAATAGTACACAGTTTTAGTCTGAAACTCTCAGAGTTGGTAAAAAAAAGGCTGAAATTTCAGAGTGTCTAAATAAAAAAGTCTGAACATTCGAAATCAATGTATTCAATGTTCATCAGAAATGAATTCAATGTTTCATTCATCTGATACCGAAACATGCTAGGCTAATGGGATTTCGGGAGAACGTGCTCTGACGGCGAATCTGCAATGTCTGACACGAATCTTGCGTCAGGGCGAATCTTGTGGTGATTGGGCGAATCGTTTGGTGATTGAACGAATCTTGTATCAGATGCGAAATTTTGGTGATTGGACGAAATCTGCAGTTCTCTGACGGCGCAAATCTGTGGTGTCAGGGCGATTTTGCTGTGATAGGCGAAAATTTCGTGCTGTGAGGCGCGGATTTGCTGTGTCAAGGCGATTTTGCGTTGACAGTGCGAATCTGCTGTGACTCGTGAAGTCCGAATCACCAGTGAAGAACGCGTTTGTACTCTGAATGATTCAGAGTACACTCCCGGAAAAATCTGAAATTTCAGAGTTAGCCTTAACATTTTTCTGAAAATTACAGAGTTGGGGCCAAAAAATCTCTGATTCTAACAGAGTTCACTTACAAAAAAATATGAATTCTCAGAGTTTTTCATGCAAATCAGAGAAAAAATTCTGACTTCTGAGGGCGTGGATGGTGCTAACCTAAGTTTATCCTTAGAAATTCCAGATAGCATACACTTGATATATACAAATATATACAAAGTTGCACGAAATCACATGCGCGCTAGTGCTCCGTTAGTGCAATCCATTGCACCCTACCAAATACAGCCATTTCCGTAATACCCGCCAGCCGCGGAGTATTTGTCGCGTCGGGACATTTTCCCGCGTGAAATTCCCCCTCGTAAAACGCCTGGTGCCGCCCGACAGGTCACCGCATCCTGTCTGCGCATTCGATTTCGCATGTCACTTCACCTCAGGCACAAAATGTTTCACAATAGCTCATGATGCGTTTGTTCAGGTGCCAGGGGGGAGGGGTTGGGGCGGCAGCCTCGAACCACTCTCAGATCAGATCGATGTCCCTAGAGCCAGTGTGGGCGAGGCCGAGCGCGAGTTTGCTTCTCATTTTCAAATCGTTGTCATACGACGTAGAGAGTACGTCAGTTCATATTTTTTTTTCCGCCTCTCTACATCGTACTCTCACAGCCTTTCCTGCTCGTAGGGTACAGTCACTCTGTCCTCGCTCTGCGCGCTCGCGCGATGGGTCCGTGGAGGCGTCTCTCGGCTCTCGCCGCCGTCTGCACGCTCGCATTGCTGCTGACTTCTGCTGCCGCGCGGCCCACCAAGGAGGATTTGATCAACGAGGTCTCCGCAAAAAACGGGACGCCCAAAAGCTGTCAACAATTGGCGTATCCAGCAGGCATGCGCACCCGCGCATGGCTTAGAAAGCTGTAAGCACACACGAAGCAATCATTTCGTGCCAAAGAATGCAGATGCACTGTCGCTGTGTACACGAGCAATGGAACCCCTTTCACATTGTGTTTGTTGGGGGGGTGTGCGTTTGAGCGCAGCCAGTTTGGCAAATATGCGCAGTACTTCCACTATTGTTGTTACAGCTAGGAGTACGAATTTGTGTGCACGTTGACAAAAACTTTTTGGGGTTATAACAATCGTGATTACAGCGGCAGAAGTTTGGATAAGGCATTGCTGACGCGGCGACAACATCTAATTGTGCAGTGTGTGGTGTGAAAATCGGATGTCACAGTACAGCTCGGATGGGACGTGCGTGTGGCTAACGATAAGCCTAGGGTTACCCCCTCTCTCGACAGCCAATTATCACCCACCAGGGTCCTTCGGGAGCCAATGGGTTGATTCACACGCTGCCAAGCCAGCAATAAGACGGTTGAGACTTCTCGCCCAATCGCCAATCTGCCATCGAAATTGACAGCATTGAGCTCGTTCACGTCTCGTTCTCCCTGGCAGTTCAAAGCTCTGACCCTGTTCGTTGCAGAGCCATTTCCAACATAAAAAATTCCAATTTCCTTATCCCAGATCTAGTTAGTGTCTTCGAGTGTTGTTCTGGTTGTTGCGCCTTTTCCGTTTCTGCCTACGCTATAAGCTCCAGAAGTCATTCTTACGTCTGTTCGTTGTCTTCTGTCCTCCCTCCGCCAGGTCATCAATACCGTATGTGTCGGTGGGCGCCTGCGTCACTGGCGTGACAGACAAATAATGTCTACTCGCTTTACGAGTTGCGTGAGATCAGGTGAGTTTTTTTTTATGCCAACGACGCAATTTCTAATATGCATCTTGTCTGCGCCTTGTATATTTCCAGGTTAGGTACGTGCGTCACTGGGTGCAAGAACATTCTACGATCCCCTTATCCTTTCTACCATGTTTCAACATCCCGTGGTTTCGGTCACATCAATGCCTAACAAGTTAGGTAAGCTCTGTTTTGGTGCTCGTTGCCTATGCTGACTAACGGTGGTTCTATGCTGTCTAGCTTTGTTGCGTGTGTTGGCAGGATGTTGCAGGTCCCGGTTGTGTTGTAGATATTATTAAGTGGAAGTAATGCATGCTGCAATCGCGGATATATTGTTTTGTCTTGTACATTTTACGGTGCACTAAACGCTGCTAAAATGCATTAGTTGTAGTTTATCGTAATATTGAATGTGTTAACATGTAAGGTACTCCAGAACATCAGCTGAAATACGGCTGAAGCTTTTAATCTTGTGGCACTCTACCTAAAAATGACAATTTCACTTCCTGAAGCGCATTTAGCGGAAGCTGTAATTTTTTTTTGTAACGCTTGTATAACACGTCTGTCTAATTCACGATGCACCAGGTGTATTGTGGTAACCTTCTTGTTTTGTTACAGAGACCTCTTGTATGAATTTCCCAGACTCTTGTAGTGAGTATGAGCAGTGTTGGCCTTATGTTGGCGCAATCCTTGCCGAGCCTGACGAGGTTTGCACTAACAAACCTCACAACGAAACATCAAACAATCCCTGCGCGGTGTAGGATTTCTGAAGATAGACCTCAAACATTGTTGCCTGGGACATACTTCAAGCAGTGCTTTAGGATTTCATGAGGAAAGATTTCCGCCAAAAAATTTTGTGACGGTGAAGGCAGCCCGGGAAGCGCTCAAGGATCCCAAATTGAACAGAAAGTACAAGGGAAGCGGCGCTATCGTCGACCAGCTCGTTCCTGTTATGGGTAAGTCATGGTACTTCTACGCAATCCTGCATTGTGTTGCTTTTTTTGTGCGTGCGTGCGTGCGTGCGTGCGTGCGTGCGCGTGTGTGCATTCTTCTTGGCAGCGTTGGTATTCTTCCAAAAACGACTACGTTGCTCGTCTCCGGAGGTATCGCGCTGTTTTCGTGAAGTAGTTGTATCCACATTATCATAATGATGCTTTCCCTTTTCTGTGATTCAGAGAATGACTGGAACCCACCGGACGTGTACCTCGCCAACACCGAGGGAAAAACCATCCTCCTACCCGACGACACGGCCATCGCTTCCGCGGCGCCAGACATGGTTACCACGTTCACAAGTTCCAGGCTCAAGCGCGAGGAGGTTACCCCATACGGGAATTGGATTCGCGCGAACATGCTGGACGGAGTGTACGAGGAGGATGACCTGAAATACGCTAAAGGAGTGAAGAACGGGAATGGTCGCATGGTGGATACGGAAGAGGTTGTGGACAGCAAGACTGGCAAGAAGAAGGTGGCGATCGGGAAGGGCAAGGCGAAGATTAGGACTCCGACGATTTTCAGAGGGAAGCTGTTTATCATCCATGGCGTGGATGCGGTGCAGCCGAGGGAGTAGATTCTACCTTGTTTTGAAACTTTGGAAAGTTCGTCTTTGTATGCCAATTGTTGTACTGTACTTCCGCATTTGATGAAGCGATAGCACCTTGTAATGAGGCTGACCGTTGTACCACCTGTGGTGATGCCAATGGGATAAAGTTTCCAACTGTTTCGCTTGAGATACGCCACGTTGCAACTGCGTTTGCTGGATAGGACAAGTCTGCTGACCAAGAACACTGGTACCCTATGCATGATGCTAAAATTTCAAAAGCATGATAAAGCATACAGCATGTCTTTTCCAGCATCAGTCATGTCATGTACCTTTCATCATGTGAGAAGGTAGTGGGGGGTAATAAAAGTCACTAGCTTTGCACTTCTTCCCGGCTTTGCCCGAACCACCACCCGTAGCATTCTCTCCCTCCAATGCCTCCAACCTGTGTGTGGCACTTTGCCCTGTCGCATCTTCCTGGAGATTCATGGAACCTTCTGCGCGTGCAGGTTGAGTTGGCGGCAGTGGTTGCGAGTGTGTGGCAGTGGGCGGGGTGACGAGCGGTGCAGGCGGGGATGAGTGAGCGGATGCAAGGGAGGGCGCACACAGCATGGCCTGTATGGCATGCACCAACTGGCACAGGGGCACGGGTGCATGGGGGGAGACGCATGTTGAGAAGGGACCGGGGGGTGAGGGGGAGAGGAGAGCGTGACGAGGAGGAAATGATGAGAGAGATGCAAGAAATCAAAGAAGATGGAGCAGCAGCAACGGAACGGAAGAGAGTCACGACTAGGCTCGGTGCACAAGACACATGGCGTTGCCTCACAAAATCAAGGTGCTTTGAATGAACAACAGTGCAACACCTGGTTTCTACCCGCCCTCACTGCCTGCCCCACTCATATCCAAGCCAACACCCGCCCCTCACCTCCCCCACACAAACACCCGCCCCTCACCCCCTCCACACCAACACCCGCGTCTCACCTTCCGCACTCCCACACCCGCCCCTCACCTCTGCCACACCACCACCCGCCTCTCACCTCCTGCACACCAACACCCGCTTCTCACCTCCTGCACACCAACACCCGCCACGGTTGACACTCTCAGGGAGCCAGCAGGACCACCGTGAGCCTTGTACTCCTCCCACGCTGCCACGCCTGTTGCTGCCACTCCTGCTGCCGTGTCTCCTGCTGCTGTGTCTGCTGCGCCGTCCTCCCCATGTGCTCGCCCCACGACCTCCTCTCCACCCAGCAGCACCGCACCAGTATCCCTGCTGTCCAAACTACTGCTGTTACTCCCTCCTGTCTGTCTGCCCTCCTTACCAGCCCCCCCAGCTTGCTGCGACTGCTGCTGGCCATCGCTGCTCCCATCTACCTCCCCACAAGAGGCAGAGGCTCCTCCCTCCTCGCCCTCACTCCTCCCACTCTGATTCGCCCCCTCTGCAAGTAAGTCTGCGAGGCCCGCGCTCCTGCCATCCCCATCCGCCTCATCTGATTGGCTGCCTGGAGGCTCCCCCGTGGGAGCAGCAGCAGGCAGGTCGCACTTGGATATCACGTCGATCCACACGCGGTCGGCAAACCTTGTCTTTATTTCGCTGTACAGTTGGTACTGGCAAGGGAGAGGAGGTGACGCGTTGATGAAGTGGGAGAAGCAACAGGTGGGAGATGCAATGAGTGCAGGAGGCAAGCAGAGAGAGAGAGAGAGTGAGGAAAGATGGGGAACAACTGGGCGGATGGAGGGTGCAGATGGTTGAAGAGAGGTGCACAAGGGTCGGATCGAATAAGGATAACAAAGTGAAAGCAAGCAGCCATATTCCCAACCTGCTTGAACCGGCTCACACCGCACTCCTCACCTGCTTGGACCAGCTCACACCGCACTCCTCACACCGCACTCCTCACCTGCTTCAACCGGCTCACACCGCACTCCTCACCTGCTTCAACCGGCTCACACCGCACTCCTCACCTGCTTCAACCGGCTCACACCGCACTCCTCACCTGCTTCAACCGGCTCACACCGCACTCCTCACCTGCTTCAACCAGCTCACACCGCACTCCTCACCTGCTTCAACCGGCTCACACCGCACTCCTCACCTGCTTCAACCGGCTCACACCGCACTCCTCACCTGCTTCAACCAGCTCACACCGCACTCCTCACCTGCTTCAACCAGCTCACACCGCACTCCTCACCTGCTTCAACCAGCTCACACCGCACTCCTCACCTGCTTCAACCGGCTCACACCGCACTCCTCACCTGCTTCAACCGGCTCACACCGCACTCCTCACCTGCTTCAACCGGCTCACACCGCACTCCTCACCTGCTTCAACCGGCTCACACCGCACTCCTCACCTGCTTCAACCGGCTCACACCGCACTCCTCACCTGCTTCAACCGGCTCACACCGCACTCCTCAGAGGGGTCATGGACAAAGAGCACAGCGGTGGGCAGATGGGTGATGGCTGCTATGGTGAGCAGCTCAATGCTGTTGCGCTGCTCTGGGACGGGAGCAGTGGGTGCAAACGGGAGGGCAGTGGGTGCAGATGGGTGATGGCTGCTATGGTGAGCAGCTCAATGCTGTTGCGCTGCTCTGGGACACACACAGGGCGAGAGGGGAGCGACGGCAATGGTAGGGCAGGGGGGGGACAGGGGGAAGGTAGGGGGAGGGCAGGGCAGGAGGAAAGGTGCGTAGAAAACATGGGAGACGAGCAAGAGTATGGACCCTGTATTACCGGGAATGAAACCAAGAGCAGTGGAGCAAGCGAAAATGGATGGGTGTGGAAATGGCTGAAGTGCTGTTGCAGTCACGCGGAGATGCAGAAGGAACAGGAGAGGGAGCAGGAGAGTACGAGCATCAATATACAAGACAGGGATAAAGACCGAGATCAAACAAGCATCATGGCGAGAAAAGAGAGCAGTGGGAGGAGGAGAGCGATACCATCTGGGCGGGAGAGCAGGCCTGGTGTGTCCGTGACCTGAGAGTGGTGGGATTGGCGGGAGGAACGCGAGGCAGAG